AAAAGCAATTGAAATGTTTAAAGATGTGAATAATCCAGATAGAGTTCTTCGTGGTCTTTTGTTTAACAGTTGTGCTCAAGTTCGAACAGCAGAAGCATTAGATGTTGGTAAACACGTGTGGTTTTCCATGTCAGAAATTGAACGAAAAAATGAGTATGTTACCGTCGGTGCCTTCGACATGTTTGTGAAATGTGGTGATATCTCCAATGCTGAACGATTATTCAATCGAATGACACGGATTGTGATTACCTATGGACAAATGATGAAGTGTTATAATGATCATCGCATGCCTCTGAAAACTCTCAATCTGTATGATAAGATGAAGAAGGAAAATATCGCAGTCAATTCAGTCATTTTTGTTCTTGTAATCGATGCATGTGCTGAATATGGACTTGAATCACGCTGTCGATTGATCGCAAGCCAAATTCCGTCTTCTATGTTGCTTGAACCGGAACTTCGAACTACTTTAATTCATATGTGGGTGAGTAATAATTCATTCACTGATTTCTTTGTGTAAGGCTTTCCCGTAACTTATTAGGGCAAGGCGGCACGCGTGAAGGAAGCAAGGGAGATCTTTATAAGCCTGAATTCACCTAATGCCGCTGCATACACTGCTATGAGTAAGCTGATTTGGTAAATTGTCTGTTCATTAGTTGATCTTAATAGTTAATGCATATGGGTTGAATGGAATGGGTTATGAGGCAATTCAGCTCTATCATCAAATGCCAGTGGAAATCCGAAATGAAAAAACACATGTCTGTGTACTGAACGCCTGCTCACATTCAGGTCTTGTTAATGAATGTCGTTCAATTTTTGCAACGATTCCAAACAAAAACCAATTCATTTATACAACAATGGTAACTAAATTGATATCAGAATCAAACAATGAACTGCTGTTGTAGGTCGATTGTTTGAGTCGATCATTCTTCTTTGATGAAGCGAAACAGTTGATCGAAGAGTTTGAGCGTCATCAGTCGCCTGATGTAACCATGTACAGTAAGTTTTCCCATGAGAACACGTTCGTTTCGCGTTGAATAATCAAGGTCAACAACGTTGTTCTTTAAACTTTAGAGGCCATACTGTCAGGTGCTCGTAATCGAAAGGATGTTTCTCTTGCGCGAGAAATAACTCAACGGATAAAACAACTGGGTCATACTGTCGATGACGATTTCATATCGGCCTCAGTACTTTTCGGTAACACTTTGGCATCATCAGGCGAATTAGAAGAAGCATCACAACTAAGACTAGAAATGAGCCAATCAGGTATGAAGAAAAAAGCGGGTGTATCTTGGACTGAAGTCAATGGTGAAATTGTGGTAAAGATCAATCTTCTGTTCCATTGATGCTCGTTCAACTTCTTATTTATTTTGAAGGAATTTCGTGTCAAAGATCGAAGACATCCACGAACAGATGAAATCTATGATGAACTTGATCGAATCGAAAAGGAACTCACTGAACATGGTCATAAGTTCGATGCCAGCTGGATAACACGTGAAATGAGGTCTAATGAGACTGTCGCATCTATTCTCAACAGTCACAGTGAGAGATTGGCACTTGCATATCATTTCATTCAGCGGCCAGTTCCATCACGCATTCAAATTGTGAAGAATCTCCGCATTTGTGGTGATTGTCGTAAGTTGAAAGTAGGATCGAAGTAAAAGATGTTTCGGTTTCTTGTCTTAGATGGGGCAATCAAGTTGATCAGTCGAATTCGTCAATGTGAAATTATTATTCGTGATGCGAACCGTATTCATCTTTTTTCAGATGGGAAATGTTCATGTAATGATCATTTTTAATAAAGATTTTGTTTTCGTTGTGTAGCAAGTTAATTGTAATAGATTTAGAAGAATATGGAAACGGACTTGAAAAGTCGATGTTAGGTCGTTTATGTGACGAAAAGCAGACATGTTGAAAACGGATTCAAGTATTGTATTAGATTCGCTTTCGATGACATAAAATATCAGCTGTATTTTTGAAACGAGGATCAAGAAGATGAAAAATTTCTATGATTTAAACACTTATTAAACTAATCAAAATAACAGATGGATGACGATCGTTTTAAGAAACTTCTGTCAATTGTATTTGACTGTCCATAATCTATTTATTAAATTATTCTCGGGAAAAATCTAATGGGCGTTCTGTTCAGTACGTATGTAAGTGATGATTGTAGCAATAAGAAGAAGAATTATTTCTGAAGTGTTTGCAAAAATTTTACATCTCGTTTTACTTCAAACGTTATAGTAAGAGATTTGACGATGAATATGATGTATAGATAATATTTCGATTTTCAAATACTATAGTTAAAGTAGTTTGCTAAAGTTTCTTACAAATGGAACGTTTCTTCTGTGAGCTTTTATAAATCCCAGGCCGATCATGGTGGGAAGGGAATGATCGGCAAAACGCACTTAACCGGTTGGAGCCAACCAAGCCATAATAACATGGGAGTGTTAAACCGATCATGAAGTTAGAATGATTTTATTATTTTGACATGCGTAATGAGCGATATTTCAGGAATTAAGACATGCACAAATTGCTTTCGACAATGATCATTTAAGTAATACTTGTTGTACTGCTTTCTAATGCTACCAGAATTCAAAAGTGACACTATATATAAATGTATAGCGATCTTTAACTGAGATTCAGAAAACGAACGCTGCCTTTCTGATGCATGTTATCGTAAAGATCACCCACAGAAGATACGTGACATGTCTTCTATCCTGTTGAATCCTTTTCTTTCTTAATATTCGTTACACGTGGGACATGTGTAACCGAACCATGGGCTCCTGTTTTGAATCTCATATTGAGAGCACATTACAAAAGTAGGAGAAAGATTCATTTATTTTTCGGTTGAACAGATCGCAAAAGAATATTACAGTTGACATAGAAAGTCGAATGTTAATCTTATGAAATTTATCTTAACATAGGTCTTAGAAGCGAGTGTAAGATGTGCTTTTCCTATGTGTCTCTCTCAAATTCATATCGCCATTATTTTCCTATATGAGAAGAGAAAAATCGACGTACCCCATGAGAGTGTATGAAATCTTTAGCAGTGCTGGGTGGCATCGAATTGACCATCGGGTTTACAGATTTCAAACAAGTCTAAGCACTAGGTGGAAACATTTTCCAGTAAAACTTATCTAAACAATCTGACTGGAAAAGAACTTCAACTAAAAAAATTCTCTTTATATTCTACGGTTTCGAACAACTCTTTTTTAAGTCGAATTAAAATATTTACGATTTAAATTATTTTTCATCAATATATTGAGAAATATTTTCTTCGGAATGAGTTCTTCCAAGAATTAAACATACACCGTGCATGAATATTGCTATTCGACGTTGGATAGAAATAAGTTAAATATGGATTCCAGTCCTATTGGTTTAAATTGGCAAGGAGAAGTTCGATACATTTCTGTATGTACCATGTGAATGTAATTTATCTTGAGCATATTCATTATATATCTATCCTATCCTGTTGTGAATGCCCAAGAAATCAGTAGACAAACCTAAATTCATCTTCTACAGTCACTTATTCCAACGCTTTCAAGTCAAGAAGAACGATTGATAATTTACCGATCTCTTTGACACTTCCAAATTGAACAATTATCGTTCTTCCTCTTTCATTATATCCAATGTTCACTTTATTTGTTCTTCTCTTTCGTCGTCAAACGAAACTTTGTTATTTCACTATTCGACGTACGATCACAAGTTCCCCTCGATCGAATATTGAACTTGAAATGAAGAATCTCAATGACAAAAAACACTTCACGAAAGCACTTGATCTCTTCGACAAACATCAACAAAGTTCGGAAATATTGACAGATAAAGTGATTGTTCAAGCACTGAAAGCTTGTACTCAACTAACTTCTTTGGAACGTGGTCAAAGCATTCACGAGAAACTTTCCAATCAATCCACGAAGAATATGTTCGTCCAAACATCGCTTATTCATTTCTATAGTGAGTTTATGTTGTCTATACGGCTTCACATTGCTCTCGTGAAAATCTTGCAGTGCAATGTGGTCGCGTGAACGATGCTCAGCGTGTTTTCGATTCATGTGTCAACAAAAATGTGGTTCATTATGGTGCGATGATGAAAGGTGACTTCACTCATTCAGTTCGTTGCGCCTATTTTAAGGAACTGTCTTTCTTCTCTAGGTTTCATTCAGAACAATATGCCTGAAAAAGCAATTGAAATGTTTAAAGGCGTGAATAATCCAGATAGAGTTCTTCGTGGTCTTTTGTTTAACAGTTGTGCTCAAGTTCGAACAGCAGAAGCATTAGATGTTGGTAAACACGTGTGGCTTTCCATGTCAGAAATTGAACGAAAAAATGAGTATGTTACTGTCGGTGCCTTCGACATGTTTGTGAAATGTGGTGATATCTCCAATGCTGAACGATTATTCAATCGAATGAAACGGATTGTGATTACTTATGGACAAATGATGAAGTGTTATAATGATCATGATATGCCCGCGAAAACTCTCAACTTGTATGAAAAGATGAAAGTGGAAGATGTTGAAGTGAATCCAATAATTTTTGTTCGTCTGCTCGATGCGTGTACTAAACTTGGACTTGAATCCTGTTCTCAGTCTATTGTGAAACAGATTCCAGCATCAATGTTTTTCGAACTTCAACTTCAAACTGCTTTGATACATATGTGGGTAAGTGACATCACATTTGTATATTTGTGTGTACTACATTTTATAATTGATCAGGGGAAGGTATCGTGTGTAAACGAAGCAAAGCATGTGTTTGACAAAATTAACAAACCTGATTCGGTCGCATATACAGCTATGAGTAAGCTGACTGCGTGATTTGTGCGTTTATCAATGGACCTTATTAGTTAATGCATATGGGCTGAATGGAATGGGTGATGAAGCCATTCAGCTTTACCGTCGAATGCCCGTGGAAATGAGGGATGAAAAAGCTCATGTTTGTGTGCTGAATGCGTGTTCACATTCAGGTCTTGTTAATGAATGTCGCTCAATTTTTGCAACGATTCCAAACAAAAACCGATTCATTTATACAACAATGGTAACTAAATTGATATTAGAATCGAACAATGAATTGCTGTTGTAGGTCGATTGTTTGAGTCGATCATTCTTCTTTGACGAAGCAAAACAGTTGATCGAAGAGTCCGAGCGTTATCAACCTCCTTACTTACCGATGTACAGTAAGTTTCCTCATCAGAAAAAGTTCACTTACTGTAGAATAATCAAGATCGAGACCTGTAACTGTTCCTTTTTAGAGGCCATACTGTCAGGTGCTCGTAATCGAAAGGATGTTTCTCTTGCGCGAGAAATAACTCAACGGATAAAACAACTGGGTCATACTGTCGATGACGATTTCATATCGGCCTCAGTACTTTTCGGTAACACTTTGGCATCATCAGGCGAGTTAGAAGAAGCATCACAACTAAGACTCGAAATGAGCCAATCAGGTATCAAGAAAAAAGTGGGTGTATCTTGGACTGAAGTCGACGGTGAAATTGTGGTAAAGATCAATCTTCTGTTCCATTGATGCTCGTTCAACTTCTTATTTATTTTCAAAGGAATTTCGTGTCAAAGATCGAAGACATCCACGAACAGATGAAATCTATGATGAGCTTGATCGAATCGAAAAGGAACTCACTGAACATGGTCATAAGTTCGATGCCAGCTGGATAACACGTGAAATGAGGTCTAATGAGACTGTCGCATCCGTTCTCAACAGTCACAGCGAGAGATTGGCACTTGCATATCATTTCATTCAGCGGCCAGTTCCATCACGCATTCAAATTGTGAAGAATCTCCGCATTTGTGGTGATTGTCGTAAGTTGAGAGTAGGATCGAAGTAAAAGATGTTTCGGTTTCTTGTCTTAGATGGGGCAATCAAGTTGATTAGTCGATTTCGTCAATGTGAAATTATTATTCGTGATGTGAACCGTATTCATTGTTTCTCAGATGGGAAATGTTCATGTAATGATCATTTTTAATAAAGATTTTGTTTTCGTTGTGTAGCAAGTTAATTGTAATAGATTGAGAAGAATATGGAAACGGACTTGAAAAGTCGATGTTAGGTCGTTTATGTGACGAAAAGCAGACATGTTGAAAACGGATTCAAGTATTGTATTCGATTCGCTTTGGGGACATAAAATATCAGCTGTATTTTGAAAAGAGGATCAAGAAGATGAAAAATTTCTATGATTTAAACACTTCTTAAACTACTTCCATCCCTCCGTGTGTTTCTCTCATCATCTCGGCTTTTTCGCATTTGATGGGAATTAGGGACTTTCATTAAAAGTTGTTTTCTTTAATTTTCGTTGCTTAGTCGAGCATCAACAAATGAAAATAGTGAAAACTGAATTGATCGTTCTTTCGTGAGAACAAACACGCTGATTTTGATTCCATATTTCTGCAAAAATTGAGATCGAACGGTAGAAAAGCTGCAGATAGCGTCAGATTAGTTTTTGTCTATATGTAGACACACGAAAAATCATTCAAAAGATGAAATTTAGAAGTTCTCCAAAATTGCATTGTTCACGAATAAATAAGATTAAAAGTAAGAATGTACTACTGAATCCAAATCCGAATCTTGCCAAAACTACGTGCTTCTCGGAATACAATATATGTTGACGGAAGTTGAGATTTTATCTGCTGGAAAAATTTATCTGGGAATTCCGATTCTCCACTACAAGGATCGTTTGCACATCTAACAACTAATAGTCGAAGATTTTTCATATTCGACAGAAGAACGGAAATATCCTCATGAGTTTCAAGACGTATTGTCAACTTTTCACATTGTTGTGCTAGAGTTGTACGACTGAAAGCTTCACATCGCTTATAATCAAAACACTGCAGGCAATTAGTTGATGACGTTCCATACAAATCTAATTTACGAATCGATGCGTTGGTAATGCGTTCATACACTTCGCAAGTTGTCGACGATGGCCATTTCTTTAAAGTTAGTTTATACAAACATGGTGCTGTGTTGAGTAAGTTCAGCCGTTGATCATCAATTTCATTTTCTTCAATATATAACTGAATATGTCTCAGCTCATTGAGATTCGGAATGACCGTTTGAAAACGATTATCTATTGGTAGGGTTAATACAAGAGTTTTAAGCGTGGAAAACGAAATCGGTAATGAGACGGTTGGAAAATATGAATAGTTTAGTGAATTCACGCGATCGTATGATTGATGATTTTGAACACAAGTCGTTTGAGATTCAAGAAGAACATTACTGGCACATTCGTAGAATTGATCGAGTATATACGGAAGAGTGTAAAGACAAACATAATTTGGAGCGTTTAACCTTTGCCAATCACAACGAACACACCAATGATGTTCTGTTAACCAAAAAGCATTATTAAATGAATTCACGAGTCTAGTCGCCAGTACTGAAGTGTTCTGTCTTTCAACAGTTTGGTAATGGATTACAAATTGAAATACTTTAAGATTCGGCCGATGTTCGGAAATAAGACGTCGCCATCGATGACCGTCGTCTGAAATTGGAAGTGTTGCAGTGAGTATAAAATGCTCCAAGTTTGTCATAGATTGAAGAAGATTGATCAGAACGGACCATTCTCCATTGAAAACAAGACGGAATTTCTTTATCTGCCCGATCTCATATTGTATTAACTGGCTTCCTACCGAGTTGACACAATTCAAAGATAAAATTTCCAAGCATGGTGTATGATGGCAAATAATATGCACATCATTCAAATTGCATGTCAAACTGGGCAGTTCGACGTGTTTTAATGATAAAGAAATCGTATTCAAAGCAGGAAATTGTTCACTACTTTTCTCTTTTGAATGTTTCAAATCAAAGTATACATAGATGAGCTTTGGTAAACTCCACAATTGGTTAAACATCGAATTAAGAGTTTCTCTGTTATTGTAAACGTTCACTTGACGAATGCACAAATGAGTTAAGTTTTGTAATTCATTTATTTGGCTCAATATCTCTTGCCACATTGTAGACGATTCGATATGTTCGAGCGATAAAGATTGAAGAGATGTAAATCGATTCAGGTGAAAATGTTGTATAAGGAATGAGCTAGTTTGTGATGGATAATCGAAGCTTTGACACAAACGAAGCTTACGAATGCTAGATGAATAGTAAGAGCAACAAAGATGACAACTCGATTCCGAAGTGGATCGTAAGTTAACAGCATTATACTGAAAATGTTCAGCAATAAGATTGCGATGACGTTGATTAAGAGAATGAAAGGTGTGAAGGAGATCTTCAGTTGAGAGATATTTGAAAATCATTAGCCATAGTTCTCCAGGAAAATCTTGCATTGACATCTTTCAATTTCTATAGAAGAGAAATAATAATCACTGAAAATGGCGACGAAACTTGCATGTATATCTGTATGCAGGACTGGGAGAGAACCCACAACAAATCTTTTTCTTTATATCAATAGAGGAAAAATCCAAGGTAAGTATCTTGAGCAATAGAGAAAAATATTTCAATAACAATTCTCCAGTAGAATCTATGTGCTGCAAACACAATGGAGATCCTCCGTAAAAGCGATTGCTTCTGATATTAAACATGCATTTCTCGTCGATCGAATCTTAATTTTAAAAAAATTTTATTGCATTCTGCAGCGACATCTACATCTACAAAAACAAATTCTCAAAATTTCAATAGGAGCCTTTCCTTTTTCAAATCCAGAAATATTCTGTACAATCAAATGAATGTATTCTCCTATCAAATCAATCAACTGTATTGCAATTTTATCAATCATTCCAACCAAGCTATCTTCTTATTTGCCGTATATGAACTTGAAACTCCTGTTCAGATCAACGATGAATGTCACACCATATTTACTGGATCTTATCATAGAATAAGTCCTTATCTTCTAGTTTTAGATGTGTTTCCTCTGACGATTGTATCTTATTAGGGAAATATTAGAGTATAAGTTTGATATTATGAACGATGACAATTTTACTAGCGATGTATGAAAAACAGAATTGAATTGCGTAATATGAATGAGACATACTGTACAAATATGTGCTATCAGTGAATCAGTCTAATAAAACTGCATCGTCGTGTTTTCAGTATCTAATTTAGTTAATAATGTCTAATAAGCAAAGTTTCGTGAGCACGTTTTCGTTTTCTCTGAATTTACATCACTATTTATTTTTCGATGTTTTGCGCAGGTACAAAGTATCGTTTCATTTGCTCTTCCCTGTCTATCAACTTTTTATTCATAAGTCATGCAGCACGCTCGTTATGACTGACTGACGTTATTTTGAAATATGTATATATGTGTCGTTAACTTGTAAACGAACAATATTTTCCTTTCACAATTTCGAAACGGTATGGAGCATGCTTTGGCTCAAGTTGGTATTTTAGCGGGAGGGATTGTTGCAGGCAATATTTTAACCAGGATGATTTTCTCACTTGCACACAAAATGAAAGGAGCTTTTCATCACTCAAGTGCACCGAATAACTACAATCAACAGCCGCATTATGAATCAGGATATAATCATCATCATACCAGTTACTATTACCAATGAAAATCCACCCTAATAAGTTGTTCTACACATCAGTTTTTTTGTCATTTGAAATTCAATAAACATAAGTTTCATGACATTTACTCTGTACGAGAAATGCGTCAATGAGCTATAATCGTGTGAACAAAAGTATATTTGAGATCGTGAACAATGCATGACAAGAAATTGATACTTTATTACTTTGCTCACAAGTTATCAACACTATTCATTGGATATCCTCCGGTTTACTTAAACAAAATGTGCGAATATATCTGATACAAAATCTCACAGTGAAAGTACCTGTTGTTTCTTTGTGTTCTGTGCGTTGAATACAATGTCGCATATTTCTTAGTCTTTTTTCATATTGATTCTGACAGAATACTATCGCTATCAGAAGAAATCATTGCAAATTTCTTAGATCTATTAATTAATTTTGTTGCGTATTCGATGAAATGATCGTTTTATCACACATTAACATTTGCACACCTTCAAGTGATTTTACGCGCTATTTTATCGTAGCTTGTCTGCCTGAATTGCCTTATCACTAAGTCGTATTTGCTGTGTGTGCCCGGAGCACACGTGTTTTGTAGTAAGTTACATGTTTTTCATTTTAAGTATGAGTACAACGATAGTCTTATAGATATTCAATCTCTAACTTCTGTGCGTTTGATCATGTCTGTAACGAAGCCGAAAGTAACTGACGTTTTCACCAGCGAGACAATCGTATTTAGTGATGATGGTGGCTGGTGTTGGTTCGAATCGCCTGGTGCTCTTCAATATGGTTCCCTGCTTTTAATAGGATCAGTTGCGTCTGGTGGTCATGACAAAAATCGTTGTGGTAATGTTGAACTGCATCTCCATGATTGCTTCACTCAAATGACAGAAACTATCGTTCTACACGATCAATTTGAATTGGATGATCATGATGGACCGGCATTGTTAATAAGACCAGATGGTCGTTTATTGGTTTTGTATGCAAAGCATGGTACAGAACCACATAATTATTCGCGTCTTTCTCTTCCCGATACAAAATCGTTCAACCAGTTTGGTCCAGTTCAACTTTATACACCATCAACACCTACGGAGCTTACATATGCCAATTTAATTCTTCTTCCGAATGAAGCCAATCGTATTTATGACTTCTTTCGCGGTCTTCATGGTTCGTTCAAACCATCTTATCTTTACTCCGATGATCTTGGAACTAGTTGGCATAATGGTAATGTTTACATCAACGTCCCTTCTACGATCAAACACAGACCCTACGTACGATATACTTCAAATGAACGAGATACCATCCACATGATCTATACGGAAGGGCATCCGCGAGATTATGATAATAGTTTATATCATATTTATTATCGTTCTGGTGATCTGTACCAATCGGATGGTATAAAACTAAGTTCGCTACAAGTTGGACTTGATTCGCCTGATCAGGGCACAAAAGTTTATCAAGGCGATTCACAACATGTTGCGTGGATAGTCGATCTTGTTCTAGATCGCAATGAATATCCTGTATGTGTTTACAGTGTTCAATACAATTCTGCAGGACTCCCTGTTGGTCAAGGCGGTGATGATATACGATACAGATATGCACGATGGAACGGTTCTATCTGGCAGAATTTTTCGCTTGCATATGCCGGTTGCCGTTTATATTCAGGTGAAGATGATTATACTGGCTTAGCTGTAATTGAACCAGATGATCCAACGGTTGTGTATATCTCAACGAATAGCGATCCAGCAACAGGTGAACCATTAATTAGTCGAAAGGATCAACAGCGACATTATGAACTATTTTACGGTAAAACTGATGATGGAGGACAAACTTGGTCATGGATAACACTGACAAGTGATTCAACTGCTGATAATCTGCGTCCAATGCGACCAAAATGTGCAAATAAGAGCGATCCGAATCCGTATCGTGCATTAGTATGGCTACGAGGAAAATATCTGGCATATACAGATTATTTACAAGAAGTTGTTGGACGAATATGGACAATGAATCCTAGTGAAGATATTCACGAGAATCAATAGAAGAATTTTTATGACTCATTTTTGACATATATTTTTGTCCTTCTGAAATAATAAAAATACAAGATTGATCAACAAAGGAAAGTACAATACGACATCGTTTTTTTACTCGTTCTTTGCGGTGCTTTCATTTGCATTGAGCAAAAATTCACGATGGGTTGCGGGTCGTCAAGCAAAGATGTTGTCGTTACACCTACTCTTGTCGTTTCTTCTACTTCAACAGCTGGCGCCGCGTTGCCAAACGCAAATATGTCAACAACAATACCAACTGCAGGTAATCTCGTCATTTTATCATCGCAACAAAACATTCATCGCCAGTATTTTAGAATCTAATAATGACACAACTAAAATCCTTATTGCTCATCATACGACACAACAAAATATTAGTGAACGATTAAAACAAGGATTGATTGATCAATCTTTGCAATGTTATTTAATTAATGAAAATACTCCGAATTCGCTTGATATACGAGCTAAACTCGTTCAATGGTGTGACGTTTTTGTTGTTATCATTAGTCGACTTTATCAGAGAACCCCGTTCTGTATGGAAACTCTTCACTATGCAAAAGATGTTCGTAAATCCGTTGTTGCTGTTCTTGCCGAACCGAATTTTCGCCCATACGGTGCATTAGGTGCAATATCAGCAAGTGCTATTCGATCGATTGTATTAACTGACGAGCAATCTCTTGTGCATGTAGTCTCAGAGATAACGACCAGTGCTCGATCCCAGACGAAGAAAAAGTCAAGTACGATCAATATAAAAGATCTATCGAAAGTATTGATAAGTGCTTTTTATTTGAGATAAACGTCTGTTTCATTTAGAAGAATGAAAATGTGGTAAATGCCAAATTTCTATCAGGTTCATCAGATGGTACTGTGCTGATATGTACTGCTGATGATGGTTTGGCGGTTGCTCAACTTGTTTTCGATTCTTTGATAGCAACACAACCATCGATTATCGTAGAGAATTTATCGAAGCCTAATGCAACGAGCAGTGTAGAGAAATGCACAGTTTTAGTAGGAATTCTCACTCCACAATTAGAACAATTATCTCTTGGCCAAGCAGTGTTTGAAAAAGCTCGGTCTCTCAGCAAACCAATTGTACCAGTTATGGCAATAAAGAAATGGCGACCGGAAGGATGGCTTGGTTTAGTAATTGCAGGACGAGTCTTTTTTCGTATATTCGATCAGGAAACAGCCAGTAAAGCATTCTACGATAGTAATCGTTTGACAGATTTACGTGTCGAAATCGAAGTAGGTATATTTCATCTCAAGTTGGATACATCTATATATGCAAATCTTTAAAAGATTGCGTGCCNGTACTCGATGTGGACAACAGTATGATGACTATTCGAAAGATGGTTGCAAAAGACATGCAGCCTACTTTCTTGGTGGTGGTGGCCTTCTTGAAGACCAATGGGTTTGTTGTAGACAACAAACGGCTGATTCACCTGGTTGTAGACCATGTGAGCATATTGATCAGGTGCGTGAGTTTACTACAAACAGTCAAGGATGTTCGTATTGGAAACCAGCTTAAGTGTTTTTCCGAATAAAATGTTTAGTTGGAAAACTCCATTGTATTAATTTGTTAGAGGATGTAAATGGAAAAACATTAGAAACGTTCACCTTGAATGGTAGAACTAAAACTACGTCCATGAGGATCTCAATCACAGAAATTTGCTGAGAAAAATGACCCAGTGATATTTATTAGTATCAATGAATACTAATAGTTCAATTTATTCTTTGCTTCAAAGTCAAAAAGTAATTACTGACATTCGGGTGGAACAGTAAAGATCTTTGGATCTACAATATCTTCTAAAAAATCCTTTGTTACCGATGTAGAAGTTTGCCCTAAAATACAAATCAACACGTATGTATTTTCTTTCGAAATTCATTCCAGAAGTCTTACCGATGGTTTCAAAGTTGATACCTGATTCTAATGTAATACACGAATCTCGGCTAATTTTTTGATAACTAATAATACCAAACTTATCACTGATCCATGTATCAGCAAGAACTTCTTTTCCATTATCATTATACATTGATGAGTTTGCATAGGATACGCTTTCTGAAATAAGAGACAAAAAATGTAATAGCTAATATGCGAAGAGAAAGAACTCGTAACCCAAAATGCAATCTTCATGTTGATAAGTTATTATCTCTTTGACACAAGCGTTGGTACCAGGAAAGATAGTATATCGAACATTATTTTTATAATCAGAAAGGTACCAAAAAGGGGAATACCCATGGTTTGGATCAGATACTGTTGGTCCTCGTGTGGCAAATAACCCATTTTCAACATCTCGTGCTTGTTCATATTCAAACTATTCGAAGAAAGGAGTAAATGTTCATGTTGATAGTGAAAGTTTCTCACGAAAGATGTCGAAATTGCTCCGTCTGGTAATCGAGTTTGAGATGTAACAAATATTTTTGAACTGAATCGTTTTGGAAAACAACACCGGTCAGGTTGATTTGCTGTTGGTTTTGTCGAACCATTCGCAATAACGAGCAAAGCAACGAATAATTTGTAATAAAACATTATTGGTTTGTATTACGGAGTACGTGTGTGATTGATTGATTGATACAAGTAGAAAATCTGCATCCTATTTATAGATGAAAATCACTTAGGTACTTTGGACAGCGATTAGTAAAAATCATGCCTAAAACAAATTGCGTTCTATTTTACGGATTGATTTATCGTCGAGACTGAGACAAACATGATGAAATAGATGTGAAATTAACGTACGATATTGTGTTTCAACGTACCAACCCTATGGTACTATTAATTTTCTCGTTTTTCGTTTTAATCTTGTAAATGAATGTTCTTTCGTCTGCTCATAACCTCATATTTGATTAAATGTAATATCATGAACATAGATCTCACTTTCTTTTCCTCTTGTAACACGAAGATAATAAATTTAGATTCTTTTGAAAAATTTATTAAATTAAACCCTACGAGACGAACTATACCTTTCAGATTAGATGGACGATTTGCAGATATACTAGTAGCTGAAGTCCTTTTCCAAATAAGTTAGACCATATCAAATTTGCTGATAAATGTAATCTTTGGTTGGTTCGCAGCGGACATATCCAAGTAAACAGAACGCGAAAGAAAAACTATCTACATAACACGTGTAGAAATTCATATAGAATTTGTGCGTTGTTTTTTATCCACAAATGGCAAGTAAGAATGATGATTATGAAATCTCCTTGATCGACAATGAAGCTGATGCTCGTTACTGCGCGAGATTACTTTCTCAAGAGTTTGCAACTAATAATCCTTTTTCTGTTTTTACTCGGAAATCGGCTGAGGACACATTCGATACTTGGCTATGGCCAGTAATAACTCGTGTAATGGATGAAAAACTATCCTTCCTTATGCGAGATCGAACAACAAATCAGATTATTGCTGCAATATTTGCCTCTGATCTATTTCTACTTTGGCAAATAGATCCATCCAATGATTCCGCTGATGCGTCTCATAGTCCTGATGGTGATTTCTTTTACGAATTAACGGCACATTTTATTCACCATGATCTCAATCAAGAATTGACACCAAACACGTTTTTATATATTACAGCCATTGGAACGCGATTTGAATACGTCGGTAGAAATTTAGCAATGAAATTATGTGCTCATCTACGTGATTATGCACGAGACCAACGAAAATTTCAATACGCATTTGTTAAAACAACTCATCCAGCATCTCGGCGTATTTTTGTGAAGGGAATGCATGGCGAAGAAAAGGCAATTGTCGATCCAGCAGCATGGATTTGGAAGAAAGGCAATGATGATTCATGTTGTCCATGGAAAGGATATGTTGGAGAACCGGCAGTCAACATTCTAGTAAAATTATAATACTAAAAAGGAACTATAATGTCAATTTTAATCATGAATAAACGAAGAAGTTCTGTTTACCTCGATTTTTATACAATAACATGCATCTTCTTTAAGAGAGAGAAATAGCTTAACTATGATATCACGTTAAAAATTCAAAATTTTCGCTTTCGCGATCGATTCGTCTTTGAATCTTTGCTCGTTAAACTTTTTTCTAATGAGATTTGAGTACTGTACCGTCTTGGAAGCTGTATTCACTTTCTTCTATGTAGTTTCAGAGATATCTTGCGAAATCCATCGTGTTCCGAGAGTGTTGAAGGTATTCTATTGGTATGATGTTCGAGAAAACTCTTAAAGTTGTACACGTATTGTATTTGTGTTCGTTGGTATATATTTACACTTTCATTTTTCCTCCGTTTCGTTTCACTGCTAGTGCTTATTTGTTAAACTTTTATTAATGAAAGAAAGATGACGTACACAGTGTTATCAAGTACTAATCGATCGAATCTTTCATTAACATCAATCATATTCAACTTATTGAGAATGATGAGTAAAAGTTCGTCAGGCAAGCCGAGTATATTGATGGACATATTGTTTGAATGATTCATTTTGCACTACGTTCATTGGGTTGAACTTATATACTTCTATAGTTTACAATATATATCATTGTCGTCTGAGAAAACAATGAAAGGAAAATATTGATGCGCCGCGGTATTGAACAATGACATGTGAGTTATGTTGTTTTCGTTTTCTTTCAGCGTTGCCTGTTGTTTATCTATTTATGAAATTGTTTCTTGTTCTATAAACATTTTTTCGTCTGGTCCGGAAAATACATTGAAAAATTGAAATTGAATGAATCAACTCTCAGTCGTTACGCGGAAGCCCTTCTCATAATGTTGGTTTAAACAAAATTGAGTTTTCTTAGTGTACTTTATCCAATGATGATCGCTTCTGAATTATGACCGAGTCTGTGCGAATTTTACTGTTTGTAATGTCTTTGCTACACATGATATTCCGACAAGTAACCAACAACAACGAGCGTTACAATTAAACATTATTCGATACTGGATCTACTTTCTTCCTCTTTTTTAGTGTTTGCTGACAATGACAATACGATTTATTGATTTTTCGTTTACTACGGTGTTGTGTGGAGTGAAGCTCTGCTGCCCACAATCATGAGTCATTATCCGGATGTATGTTAAGCAAATTATCAATAATCGCATCAATTTAGCTTTTATTATATGTGAAATATATATTCTTCTTTTATTCTTCCATCAGCGCAAGAAATAATCACTACAAATGTTATGCGTGTATAGAATAAAGCGAAATTATATTCGCACTGGTAAACAAATTGATTGATTCATTTGTTGCTGTTGTCGAGAACTTCTTTGGTGTTACACTTGGTCTCGCAATCGCTTTCCTATCAATAGAATGCTTTTATTTACGGTTTGATTCTGATTAGCATGAATTACCTCAACGGTCGACTCTTGAGCACTTTTTAAGAATTCAAGTATTTCCTTCGATTCGCTAAAAAAAAGAAAAGAAGTAAAGCGATAATGAAAAGTTCTATTTACGATCATTTGCCAAATTCTTGATTTTTTTCTTTTTGCTGTTTTGGTCCTCAAGGTTGACGGCAAAACCGACAACTTCCTGCTGTTTTCTTATTTCGATAAGATCGATCTTGAGTTGGTCAACGGTTGACGGAGCCTTTTCGCTCTGCTCATACTTTTTAATTTTCTGTATGATAGCTTCGGCTTCGTCCCGCTTTTTCGCTTCCGGTACAGCTCTTCTCGATTCCGGCAGGTTCCTTGCCGCCGGAATCCGGCCGGAACCGACCGTGCCATAATAACCTGGGGAGACGAAATGATGACATAGTATGGTTTTGAATTTATCTAAAATGGTTAAGTGTTCGTGTTTCCTTCGTTGGCTAGCAGGGAAAACGGGGAAAAGCAACGGACACCAAGACGGCGAAGAACAGATAGAGAGAAAAATAAAAGAACGATGTTCAGCGAAGAAATTCACTTATACAATATCTCGTACATTTGTTCACAAATCGAGCACGTGTATCTATACTTTTCCTCTTTCTCTCTCTCTCGGTTGCGTGGTCCAGTGTACAGAGATCAAACTATTTTAAAGAAAACGATGATGGACAGGATTTCAATTTCATTTAAAATGGAAGTGTCACGTCTTGCTATGCGAAGGTCAAGGAATTATATATTCAGAATATATAATTAGAAAGATCTTTATTCTTGAATAAAGATAGAGAGACAGAAAAGAGAACAAGCTAGAGAGAGAGAACTATCCGACACACATATATAGAAATCATGAATATATATATATACGTGTGTAAAGGAAAAGTCCAACAACGCACAAGGAAAATACATCATGACGTCATGTGTGTGTGGATAATCCCATACTACATCACACCTCCACTTTAAATTTCTTGTATCAAACGTTTGACCGGTTTGCGGACCCGTGACGAACGGCGTAATATTTGTGGCTGTATTGGTGTTTGTCGTGGTGGATCCTTCCGTGTTACCGATCCTTGTTGTGGTTGATTAGTCTGTGATGCCAAAGGTTGATCAGAATCAACTGTTATGACATCATCATCATCAGTGGACCATTGGCGTGATTGAATCTGATTTTCATGCCGTTTCCATGTTTGCTGTTGTACTTGAACTTTCCAATTCCGATTTCCGATTCTCGATAATAAAATACCAGGAACCCATTTAATTTTGTTTTGCGAACTGCGAAAATCCCGAACAATAACTGTATCACCCGATTGAAAATCGCGGTGACGAGTTTTACAATCAAAATTTCTTTGATATCGAGCTCGAGTTTTGCTTGAAACATCAGTTGCTGTAGGACGTACTAAATCCAATACGGTTCGTAATTGACGTTTCAAAAATAGTTCAGCAGGCGAAACATTCGTAGTGGCATGAGGTGTCGAACGGTACGAGAATAGAAATTTTGTTAACACGTCCGATAGTGTTCCACCATCAGCCGTTCCTTTCGTTATAGCCGATTTTACGGTTTCAACATAACGTTCGGCCTGTCCGTTTGACTGCGGATGACCGGGTGAAGTTCGCAGGTGACGGATTCCATGTCTTTCACAGAATTGAACAAATTCATCAGAAGTAAATTGCGTACCATTGTCGGAAACAATTTCTTCACATAATCCATAATGAGAAAATAAAAGTAAAAGTGCATTAACAGTTGCTGTTGTGGTGATGGTCTTCATAACAATAACCTCCAACCATTTTGAATGAGCATCAACGACAATCAAATAATAATTATCCAAAAATTTTCCCATAAAATCAATATGGATTCGTTTCCACGGAACTTCAGGCACTGGCCATTGTTGTAGAGGAACCTTTGGTGGTTGATTTGAATGCTCAGAACATGTTCGGCATTGTTTAGCAAGATCTTCGATATCTTTGTCAAGTGATGGCCACCAAAAATATCTTCTCGCATCAGCTTTCATTCTACCCATACCTGAGTGTGTTGAATGAAGATGATTGAGTAATTTGTTCCGAAAACAAGCCGGAATAATTGTACGTAAACCCCAAACTAAACACCCATTACTGGTAGAAAGATCATTTCGAATTCGATAGAATGGTCGAATATTATCTGACACATCCGATGGCCAACCTGAAAGAACATAAGTATAAACTTTATGTAAATCCAAATCTTTTCGTGTTGCATCAGCAATTTGCACCGCCCGTAACGGTAGATCACTTTGTAATTCTTCTTGAATTACGGCGACCACTCGTGATTCAATTGGATCTTGGCTATCAAAGATTTCATCTGGTCCAACAGGTAGACGTGACAAACCATCAGCTTGACCAAACTCATGTGTTGATCGATATTCAATTTTGTATGAATAACCCATTAATCGTAAAGCCCAACGCTGTAATCGATTTGCTGATGTAGTTGGAATACCTTTCTTTGAACCGAAAATTGTAAGCAATGGCTTATGATCCGTGAGCAATGTGAAAGTTCGTCCGCGTAAAAATTGATCGAACTTCTGAACGCCATAAACTAGAGCCAACGCCTCTTTCTCGATTTGTGCATAGTTTCGTTCAGCAGGTGTTAATGTTTTAGATGCATGTGCAATAACTTTCTCGGTACCATCACTATATCTATGATAAATGACTGCCCCAACGCCACTATTCGATGCATCTGCTGCTAAAATCAATGGTACTGTTGGATCATAATGTGCCAGAGCGATTGGAGATGTCAAAATTTTCTTTATTGATGAAAAAGAGTCAGCGCATGTGTCCGACCAATTCCACTCTACATCCTTTTGTAATAATGTATATAATGGTGCTAATCGATCCGTTAATTTTGGAATAAATTTCGCATAGTGATTAACCATACCTAAAAATGATCGCAGTTGAGATACGTTTGTTGGATTTGGCATATCCACGATAGCTTTCGTTTTTAACGGTGAAGTATGAACTCCATCTTTGTCAACAATTAATCCAAGATATTCGACCCTTTTTTTAGAAAACGAACATTTTGATTTGTTAATATGAAAACCAAATTCTTCGATTCGTGCCAAAACCTTATCCAAATTATTCAAATGATCCATAAAATCTTTCCCTGTAACAATAATGTCATCGAGATATGAAACCGCTCCATTCAACCCACTTAACATGGTATCCATAATTTTCTGAAAAATGGATGGTGCTGATGCCACCCCAAACGGCAATCGGTTATATCGAAAAAGTCCTTTGTGAGTATTGATCACCAAGATCTTTTGACTTTCTTCATCCAAAGGTACTTGCAGATATGCTTCTGAAAAATCAATTTTGCTAAAAACGGTACCACCATTCAATGCTACGAAAAGCTCATCTGGTTTCGGTAATGGATATTTGTCGATTTCAATTGCATCATTGACACCTGTACTTAAATCTGCGCAAAGTCGAACTTTACCACCAGGTTTAGGTACCACGACAATGGGTGCTGCCCATTTTGATACGTCCACCGGTTCAATGATACCGTCTGAAACAAGACGGTCGATATCTTTTTCAACTTCTTCTCGATAAGCAAATGGTAATGATCTTGGTTTACAAAATTTTGGAATTGCATCGGCTTTTACATATATATGTGCTTCCATTTTGCAACGACCTAAACCTTCTTTGAAAATATCAGCATACCGAATAAATAAATTATTTAATTTTTCATTTTCTGATGTTACATTCAGTAAGGAAAGATTCGATGTGATATCTTCCAATGATTGATATTTAAGTTTCAATGCATGAATCAAATCTCTGCCAACAATATTGTGTCCAAAACCACTAACAACACAAATAGGTAATTGTATGGATTGATTTTGATAAATCACATTGACCAACATCTCGCCTTTCAATTCAATAGAATGTCCCGTAAAACTTTGCAATTGTAATTGAGCTGGTTCTAAAACCGGTTTTCCCATAGAACTCCATACTTCATCTGTGATAAGTGTTATCGGTGAACCCGTATCAACTTGTGAAACAATTGGAATATTATTCAATTTCAATTGCACTTCAATTGGTTGATCATTTGTAAGGTGTTTAACTGCCATCAAGAACAAAGAATTAATAGTTTTCTTATTGGTATCTTTTGATCGACACACCTTCGCAATGTGACCTTCTTTCTTACAATTATGACAAGTGACCTTCCGGAATCGGCAATTTGAACGATCATGATCCGTTGACCCACAACTACCGCAGGTCACTTTGCTCTTTGGTTTAGCATCAGGTTTCTTTCGATGATCTATTTTGTTCACGAAAGTCTCATGATTTGAATGGTTTTGTGTCTTAGTATTTGCACCTTCAATGAAAACAGATTCAATAGTCTTCCCACTATTGATAGTTGCTTCCAAGGTTTCCAAATTCTTCTGCATTAGATGCTTCCGTACATGTTCATCTCTGAGACCTCCTACAAATGCTGTAATCAACGCTTGTTCATAGAACACCTCCGGAAAATCGCACGTTGTAGCTTTGGTTCGAAGAACATTAGCATAATCTGTCAAAGATTGATTTGAAACTTGTCGGATTGCAAAGAATTTGATTCTCTCGGTCGACGGAAATGTCACCTTCGCATAATTGATTCGTAATTTCGTAATGAGTTCGATGTAAGAAGATTCTGTCGGTTTCTTCGGTTTGCAAATAGAAATCAGCGTTTTAAAAGATTGAACATCCAATGATGTAATTAATAAATTCCGTTTCTTAATGTCATCTGTAACACCTTCAACCGCTAAATGGGTATCAAAAAGAACTTCCCATTCTTCCCAATCGAACAACGTCGGATCAAATTTGTGTAATTGATCGCGAGTAGACGTACCAGCCATTGTGCTTGTTGATTCGTCTTTTTTTTTTTTTTTTTTTTTTTTTAAAATCAGCTCACCTCGTCGCCAATTGTCACGTCTTGCTATGCGAAGGTCAAGGAATTATATATTCAGAATATATAATTAGAAAGATCTTTATTCTTGAATAAAGATAGAGAGACAGAAAAGAGAACAAGCTAGAGAGAGAGAACTATCCGACACACATATATAGAAATCATGAATATATATATATACGTGTGTAAAGGAAAAGTCCAACAACGCACAAGGAAAATACATCATGACGTCATGTGTGTGTGGATAATCCCATACTACATCACAGGAAGACACCACATTGCAAATCCGTTCAAGTTCCAATACTCGCTCTTCTAATAGCGAATAAAGTCGATACCAAACTTTTTTAGATTCTAAGATTTGTAGCAAATGTTGTCAATAAGCCTTGATCGAACATTAGCTGTTTAAATAGCACTGGTAGTTTTAAAGCACAACTTCTCTGAGAATGGTCATGACGAGATCCGAGTCGAGTCGCTACTTGTGAAATAATCATACCGTTAATTTACCTCCCAATGAAGTGCACGTTGAACTATGGAAAACGTGTTCAAAGAAGTACAAATGTATTTTTGCTTCGTTGTAATTATATTATGCGAAAAGAAGATAGAGTGGTGAAAAGACCGCTTTTAAGTTAGTTCCTTTCAAAGTAAAGCTCTCATTGAAAAATGAAAATCATGTATTGTTTATGTCGTGGCAGAAACGTTCTAACATGTTTATATGGGATTCCTTGTTTCGATTACAAAACAAAAACTACGCATATTCTATGTAGATGACTGGCAAAGAAACATCTTGCTTAATGAGATCGATTGCGTTGCTCAACTAACAAAGTTTCCAATTATATTGCGAATAGGAAAGTGAAAACGTCTGACCATCCAAATCTAATCGTGACTGACGGGAAAACTTTGAGACACTGATGGCACCCAACTTGCAGTTTTCCTTTTGTTTCACATCCGCACTTTCACCGACACTCACAAAATGTTGACCTAAAAGTTGAACTCCCAGATTTAACAGAAACTACTGAACACTGCGGCTTATGTTATTGATTATATTTATCTTTTTCGATCATTTCAATTTGTAAAAATCATTAGATTCACTTTCGTATCTGAAGTAACCAATACCTGCCTCGAATATCACATAACCATGGTATGATAAAAGAAATCCTCAATCATCATAGTAACAAACACAGTCTTGAAATCATCCATTTGGCAGCTGAATACGTCATGTTCATCTATTCACTACTCTATAATCGAGCATTACATGCATTGATTTATTGTTCACATTCTACTACACACAAAAAAAGAATATGAAGAAAAAGAGCCATTCTTCTAGTGTTGCATTTAAAGATTCTGTTGATTTAATGGTATTTTTTGATCAGCAACACCATGTTCATCATGCATTTGACTGACATACGAGCCTAATCCATCAGTAAATGGTTTATAATCTTCAAAGAAGAATGCATTAATCTGAGCGCCCAAAATGAGAATTGTTGCAAAATAATAGAAGAACAAAAGAAGAATAACTGCGAAACCAATTTGTCCTGAATAAAAAGAAAAGAAGTTCGTTTTTATAATAACTATTTTCTTTCAAAGGACTTACCTGCATAATTGTTCATAAATTTTCGTACATATAATGGAAACAAAATAATAAATATTTCCAAAGTAAAAGCTGCAACTAACGCACCACACCACGTCACTTTGAAATTCATTTTCTTATTTGGAATAAACCAATAGATTAACTCGAAAAGAGCAAACGCGACCAACAATGAAAATAGAAATCCACCCAGAAAGGCTCCAAATCGACCGCCACCACCTGGAATAATACTGAGCAAAAGTGCTGGTGCTGAACTTGCTGCCAACATCACAGGAATAACGATAATAAAAATAAATAACATTCCAAAGGCTAATAAATTCTCCTTAAGGAACGGTCGTTCCGGGACGCGATAAATAATATTCATACATTTATCAATGGCGATGAATAACCGAGATGAACCAAATAATGCAAAGATAATACCGATGGCTAATAGACCTCCTGCATCTTTCGATAATTGTCCAAATGCTAAATCAACAACCTAAAAAACAAGCGGAATTTGGTTTTTTGAGCAAAAGTGAACTGTTACTTGTCTGATGCCGGATTGTGTTGTATTATCCGAAGGAAACGAATGAATAATTTTGTTCTTGATGTTTTCTCGAGCTTCATCATTGTTTTTCAAAACGAGACCTAAGATTCCGAATAACGCGACGGCAATCGGAAGAAGTGCAATTAAGAGATTATAAGCGAGCATGGCAGCAAAGTTTAACGACCAGTCATTGAGGAATTTACGTAAAAAACGACGAAATGGTTTGGTCCTTTGTTGACCTTGTTGAAAAGCCGTCGTTGATTTAAGATTATCGATCATTATTTTGTTTGAAATAAAAAACAATGTGAATCAGTACACGAACTGCGTTATTAGAAGATATGAGGAACAAATGAATATGCCCGATAAGGATACAACGAATAGAAACAAGGGCAAATTCTTTTCTTCCGACAGAGAGGTGAGAGAAGAAAGAGAATCAATTGTTTATACACATATAGTGGAGACAGCTGTAAATAGATACAACGAATCAAATTCGGGAAAAAGACTGCCTTTGTTCAGATTATATTTGACCAAAATAAAAGCAATTGAAGAACATTTCTTCGATCTATTTCTATTGGAAAATATGACCACATTTGAAAATGAAAGGTTTATCGTGCCTTTTTTCATTGCTAATGGTGACTTAGATATTCTCACATGTAAATGATTAGCTTGAATACGAAAATGTCACATGTTGTGTATACGTAAAAACGTCCATTAGAGTATTTTGTTGACAATTTCATAAAAGAATAAAAGAAATGCTATTTTGCTGACTGATATGTTTCACTTCTCCAAAAGCAAATGTATGAAAATCATTCATGCAAAGCGGCAACGACGACGAAGATAACGCTTGAGTCACAGAAACGATGATTGTAAAAGAAAACAACATGTATCGACAGTTCTCTTACCATATTATCTCGAATATTTTTTCATTTCTCACCCAAATTCTACTATTAGCTCTAAAGATTTTTTGTTTTATTTCAACATTAATCAACTATTTTCATACACGAATGTGATACATCGATCTAAAAATCATTGAAGTAGAGAGAACGACAAAAAAAAGAGCATTTTTCATATTCGTCTCCATACCTGCATTCGATAAGACAGTCATCATTCACCCTTGTCGCTCTGCACATACTTTTACTCCCATAGTTTATTGTTATTCGACTTCTAGACGCGTGAATCATAATCTAATCGGCAATCATGGCATTAACTGTGTTTTTATTCAAAGTTTCTCATCTTAATTTATCGAAAAATTCCTCTCAAATCAGTCTTAACACAAATGATAGTGAATCAGTAATGGACGCACCAACAGTGCGACTGATTGTTGATGAAAATACGACACTACTTAGTGCGAAAACGACCTTTCGAGGTAAGGAGATACTTGTTATCGTGAGACAATTTTTGTTAAATTGCTGATATTTTCAATTAAACACTCGTCTGTGCTTTTAAACGTGTCATCATAACATTTACACTGTCCTTGATGTCTCACGTGTGATGATTCGGTCGATATGTTATGCTTATCAGCAATGGAATCGTGTCGGAATTGAAAATCTTAACAAAAATTGATTTTATTTATGAATTATTTGACGTTTCAGGTATCAGTCTTTGGTCGAACAATGTTCCGGTGTTCAAAGATGAAGCAAGTTTTCTGGCGCGTGGTCAACAACCGAAGAAATTCAATTTTAATCTAGCGGAAGCGTTATCGTCAGCGGATAAAATTCGCATGGAGTTCTATACACATACAAATCGAAAAAAACGCAAAAAACTAGTGGCAATTTTTGAAATGGTTTTAGAATCTCTGAAGGATTTACAATTTGTTCATCTTGTCGATGAGAATCTATTCGATCCACACAATTATCTAATGACAACGACTGCCGAATTGAAATTGTACTATACGCCGCCGGATATCGAGCAAATTAACACAACATTAGGTGCCGCTGATGCTGATAAGCAGCTAACTGATTGGAAAAATGTATTTGATGAACAGGGAAGACACGGTGGACATCGATATCGACATATTCATTCGAAAAAAGATCCAACAATGTTCGTAGTTTGAATAAAGTTGACACAAATAGAGATTTTGGTATTTTTAGTCGAAGACTTCGTAAGAAGTTTGTTGGTCGTACTGACGATGCCGACACCGATTCAGGTAGTGATGAAGATTTCAATATCAATAACGAGTTGAAAGCCGATGAACCAGGCGAAGAAGAAAGAAAACAGAAAGTTCAACACGGAAACATCGAATTACTACAAAAAAGGTATCGCATTCCGTTTCACAACTATCAATGATCAATGAAAAGAAAAATTTGTTTAGTTTGGGTCGATATGAAGGTGATCCATATGAAATCAACGAATGGCAAATTATGGTTCATGTTATTCAGGGACGAGAATTTCCTGGATTGGAATTGAATCCGTATGTTTGCGTTCAAATTGATGATCAAAAACGTTACACAAATATTCATCAATCGTCGAATTCGCCATACTTCGGAGAAGTAAGATATAGGCGAAGGCTCGAATCGTGTTGAATATAATCTTATATTTTAGTTTTTCACCTTTGATTTCGCGCTGCCGGCTATGCAAGTGATGCAGAAAGTGATTTTTTTCAAAGTAATTTCTTGATTTTCGAAGAGAAAACGTTCTAATAGTTTTCGATGTTCTTTAGGTTCATCATTCGAGAAAGATTATCAGTACGTTTACAGACACAAAACCAATCGCCGTATTTCGATTGGATATCGGCACTATTTACAATGAAAAAGAACATTCGTTCGAACGAAAATGGGCGCAATTGATCAATCCGGAAAATATCGAAGCTTATTGCGGCCATTTACTTCTTTCCATTACCGTCACCGAACGCGGCGCTCCATCAGCGGTAAAAACACGTTTATTTTGAATAAAAATCCATTCTTCATGACTAATCTTCTTTAGAATTTGCTGAATCAACTGGACGAAGACGATGATGAATACAAACCATCGTAATTTTCTTTTTGTTTCCTTCTTTGATTCGTGTTCAAATGGGAATTCTTGTTTAGAAAAGCATTGGTTCCTGCCGCTATGCCACATCCGTTATTTCCCGTTCAACTCAAAATCACATTTTACACCGCTTCGGAACTGCCAGAAATGATGACGGAATTTCTGACATCAGTCTCGAAAAAAATCCTGCAACCCGACGGTTGGGAACCTGTCGATCCCTATGTCGAAATCAATTATAACACAATGCGAGCTGTGACAAGTCATATCAATGGTACCACACCAGTTTGGGGTGAAGCATTTTATTTAATCGGACGTTTTCCTCCGTTGATCCGAACGATTAAAATCGCATTGAAAGATCACGCGGCTGTACAACGTGATCGAATTATTTCGTCAACGTTCATCGATCTCTTCTCCATCAGTGAAACAAGTTCGTCCGCAGGCTTTTTACCAACATTCGGTCCGACATGGATGTTCTTGTACGGAAGTCCTCGTGAATACACGATAAATAAAGAACAGGATGGTCTTAGCGAAGGAATGGGCGAAGCTGTTTGTTACAAAGGACGTTTATTAATGGAAATCGAATGTCATCCAGTCAGTGGAGAAAACACATCAAATATGACTATACAAAAAGAAACTGGAATTCAACTACCTGAAGCAGTAAGATAAAGTTTCAATGGCGCTGGCACGTCTGAGTATTCTGTTTTCTTTCATAGAATTTATTTCCAATGAAACGAACATTTCTTTTATTTGGTTGTATTTATGAAGCGACAATGATTGATAAAGCATATGGAAACACCTCAATTTGTTTCGAATTGAGTATTGGTTCAAGTGGATATCTGAATCCTCAGCAAATGATTGAAGCAACACGTGTTCCTGTCACATCGTTAACGCGATCATATCCATCTGTTCCAGTTGACAACAATAAGCAATACTTCCGTTTACCGATTGACTTACAAAAGCCGATCTTCTTTACGAAATATACATTTCACGATTATGTCTTTCGAATGACATTGTCCAATCGTTTTAAAAATGCCGCTGAACATATCGTAATTCGATTCTTCATTCTCTTCAGTCGTTATTTTTCTTTCCTTAGCAAAAACAAATTCGTAATTTCGAATCTAAAATCGATTCGCAAGTTTCCGCTGAAGCTCTCATGGAAGAATATCAGAAAATTCACGATTATATCCATGCATTGCCATGTGGATGTGCTGAACGTATATCCGCTGAAGCTTCCTATGGTATCGCTCCTGTAGTTCACCCGAGTTTATCTGAAGTCTTAGATTCGGTTCCAACATCGAAAATGAACGCCTTGGACGAAAAGCGGCGAACGAAACTCATATTTAATTTGAACTCTATCAAAGCTTGGATTTCGAAGAAGCGCGATTACGACGAATCGAAACGGTATGATATCGTCAAAGATTTGAATCAAATTGCTCGAGCATTCCGATTGATGGCCGTTGATGTAAGTGAATTTGACTGAGAAGTCTCTACGTATATTCTTGATTCTTGTTAAGGCACAAGCTGCATTACCAGATGTATTTCTATGGATGATAAGTGATTCGAAACGAGTGGCGTATGTAAGAATTCCAGCTGAAGATCTTCTATTCAATTTATGTGAAGGTGACAAAGGTTTTCACAATGGTCGAGTTCAAACATTCTTTCTCAAAGTTTGAATTACTTTCCAAGATTTACTGTTGATGTCTACGCATCTCTTTCAGACACCACGCTCAACGGATAAACCATTGAATACTTCGGCGAATGCCAAAGTACAAATGTTTTTATGGCTGGGTATCGAAGAGTACGAACCTTACTTATACAGACAATTACCGACTGGATTCGATATGCCAGTATTACCATTACAAGCATCAACAAAAACTCTTCGCTATGGCGGTTAGTCACCATCGATTATGAATCAAAGCAAACTTTGTTCTTCTTTCTTAGAACGACATTTCTACGAAGTACGATGTCATTGTTTGAAAGCACGAGCGTTGATTGCTTCGGATGATACGGGTTTGTCTGATCCTTTTCTAAGTATCACTGTTGGCACTGCAACACAAAACACACCGGTAGAGATTAATTTTATCATAATACAACTTTCATATTTGCCTTAGATTCTTCTCCAATCTTTATGTCCACAATGGAACGTGACATTAGCCTTTCCGAATTTAGTTCACGTAGGTGACCGACAATCCGCCGAACAAATCATTGGAAACATTGTTGTCGAATGTTACGATTATGACGAAGTAAATATCTCCCTCTATAACAGCATGTGTTTCAACATAATATATTTTTTCTATCTGGCTTAACATTGAATGTTGCTATTTATCCTTTAAGCAAGGTCTTCAGGTAAGCCAAGCGAAAGCTTCTGTATTAATAGCTCCCGTCATTATTGAACAATACTGAAAATACATAGTAGCTCTGTTCTTTTTATTTAACCATCATTGTGAAGAGCCTACACAGCTGTGCTCTCGCCCCCCTCTTTCGAAATATTAACCATGAATCATTCTAGGACACTGATGGACCCGATCTAATTGGACGTTTTTCCACAACAGCTAAACTTAATCTGTACAAGAAAGATGATCCGGATCAGGAATATCCATTTCAATGGTTCGAATTCAAGATGGGCGATAAACGAGCTGGTGAACTTCTTGCAGCATTTGAACTGATCGAAATGAACCCAGTAAATTTATTCGAACAGAAACTTCGGAAACACTTTGATTCTTTGATCATTATAGGAAAATCAAGACCCTGATTCGACATACGAATTAATAGAATATTCAATAACACCGGAAAATTTTCCTCCGACAACTTTCGTCACGAAAAATATCAAGAAACATCCACTCTATCGAATTCCACATCAACTCATGCCACCGATGAAACCTTATGAAATCGAAGTAGGAGAGAATTGTTGATGGAAATCGAATGATCATCAACTTTGCCATTTAGATTATGTTTTGGGGTCTACGAGAGTGTCGATCNTTTCCTCCGACAACTTTCGTCACGAAAAATATCAAGAAACATCCACTCTATCGAATTCCACATCAACTCATGCCACCGATGAAACCTTATGAAATCGAAGTAGGAGAGAATTGTTGATGGAAATCGAATGATCATCAACTTTGCCATTTAGATTATGTTTTGGGGTCTACGAGAGTGTCGATCAATTGGCCTTCAATCGATCCAACAAGCTGAAGTGACGATCGAATGTGCAGGTGAACGAACAATGAGAACGATCAAAGATGTGCAAAAATATCCGAATTTTTCGGTCTCAACCGGTCAACCGGATATCTATATCCTTCGTGTTGTAAGACAAGAAAAACAGACATTGAAAAATCTCCTTCCGATTTTGCTTTTCTATAGAATTTACCGGACGATAATAAATTCTGGCCACATTTAAGCATTCTTTGTGTGCAAAATCGGCTCTTTGGAATGAAAGAAATCGTCGGAAATTTAGTTGTAACTGATTTACAAAAGTTTCTCGATCGACCATTTAAACAACTTTCACCAACTGAAGAAGCGTTGGCTAATGCGATTAACGAAATGTCGAAAACAATGCCCTATGACTTCAATCGCGTCCGAAAGTCGATTGTTGATGCCTACGAAGGTTCGTTGACATTTATCAACTTTTTAAGGAATTTATCTAATCAGTTGATTATTTTAGCCGCCTTAGCGTCGAAAAACAAAGATATTGGTAAGGAAAAACTAAGTAAATTCGAGAAGGAAGCTGGCAAAGGAACCAATGACCGTGAAAGTCAACGTGCGATTATTGAAGATGATGCATTATCTCAAACAAAAGTACGAATTTGATATTAGTTTATCCATCGGAAAGAATCTTCGTTTCGCATTTGAGGAGGACGATGATGAAAACCAGGAGTCCGGAGGTAGAAAGTCCAACGACCTACAGGAGATGACAAGTGCTGACGAATTATCACCGAGTGATGAACTGGATAATCGGGCTTTAAAAACCGTTGAGAAGATCAAACGAGACGAAATGGAAAAGAACGCCGGATGGTGGAACAAATACTACGCATCGAAAGCCAGACTTGTATGACATTTTGACTCTAAGTGTCTCTCATTTTGTTTTGTTTAAAGAGATTGCAACAACGAGCAAATGCCGAACTTTTCGAAGAGCCGGCAGACACCGCCATTGCTTATGCGGATTTTTACGATGGACGACAAAGTTCGTTGGAAGGAAATGGATTCGATTGAAGACGAGATGTGTTTTCTTTTGTGTAGAACGTCCGACCAATCGAACGTTAGCTTTATGGATGTCAGTGAAGAAAATCTTTTCACAAGGTGGAAAAGCACAGAAAACGTTCAATCGTCTCAAAGCTGCACAATACGATCAATCCGAAAACGATAAAAAAGTAAAAATAGACGAAAAGTTAGTCATGTCATTCGATTCTTTTTCAAAAAGAAAAAAACAGCGTTCGATGAAAGTTTGGACAGTATCGAAACTGATCGATTGAAACAATTAACATTGCTGCAAACATTCGATGTGAGTTTATTCAGTGCTCATGAAAGAACATCTCGATTTATTTTCATCTAGATCGTCGAAACATCATTGGAAAATGTGTTCGATTATGAAGGATTCAACGACTGTTTAGACACTTTTGCTTTGTGAGTTTCAACAAATTCACTCATTTCATAATCAAAATTCGATCGATTTACAGATACAAAGGAAAAGGTTCGAATCGTTCCGACGAAACCGGTGATGACAAACGAATCTATGCGAAATTCAAGGTAACGAATTCAAATATTCGATAATCTACTGTCGTTTGTTTGTTAGGGAAAACTTCGTATTCGAGAATTATCCTCTCCTACCACCATTGGACTACAGCGAACAAGTATGGATCCTCGTACATCAGTGTACCCAGTTGCTGTTACTAATGATCCTCGACAAGCAAACGAAAATCTTTATAATCGAACAAACCAACAAATGGGAATGTTTAATCTAAACGAAAATCGTATAACATTGAAATGTCGATTGTATCTTGTCAAAGCAACGCTATACCGTGGATGGGATGCGTCAGGCAAAGCAGATCCGTTTATTAAGATAGCTTTAAATGACACGACGATCATCGATGATACCAAAGGGAAACTTCATAATACTTTAGAACCAGTTTTCGGAAAGTAAGACAAATTGACTGAGAAAACAAATGATGAATTGGCGAGATTCTTTGATTTAGATGCTATGAATTCGATATCACTATTCCAACGCAGAATTTGTTACGTGTTCAAATCTGGGATTGGGATATGACCAGTTCAAATGATATCATCGCCGAAACAAAGATCGATATCGAGAATCGATTTTTCTCATGTCATCGTGCCACATGTGGTTTGCCAAACCGTTACGATAGGTAAACAGTACGTTGCTTTTCTTACATAACGTATCCACTTGTTTCAGCGCGGGTTACAATGCTTGGCGCGATACAAAAAAGCCGACGACAATTCTTTCCGAATTGTGTCAGACGACGTCACTGGCAAGTCCGAAGTACTCCGAGAATTTTCAATCTGTTCAAATCGGTGATAAGCGCTTTCAATGTGATCCTGCATGTGCTGAGTTTGTTCTAAACGCTAAATCTGCGACAACGACATTGCATCGAAAAGTTCACCATGAATCACCGGATGAATACATTCAACAAAACACTGCCTTGACCGCGCTTCGTGCTTGGGGAAGAAAAATAAATCCGGTAAGAAAAAAAGCGACTTTTAGTCTATAGAAAAGAACCCTCTTTTAGAAATGTGCGCTAGTCGCTGAACATATCGAGTGTCGGCCATTGTATAATGATGAATTTCCGGATACGGAACAAGGCAAGTTAGAAATGTGGTTGGATATGTTTCCTATGTCTCGTCCGCCATCGAGTTCTCCGATTGATATATCACCTGTGAAACCAGTGTCTTATCAGTTACGATTGACGATTTGGAATACAAATGATGTGGAATTGAATGATGAAAATTTTATTACGGGTGAAAAATCTTCGGATATTTATGTGAAAGCGTGGATCTTGGGAGAAAATGTCGATTCACAGCAAACTGATATTCATTATCGGTAAGTTTAGAGAAGTTTGTCTGAGGTTGCTTTGAATTTTGATTGTAGGTCATTGACAGGCGAAGGCAATTTCAATTGGCGATTTGTGTTTGATTTTAATTATTTAGAAATCGAGGAGAAAATTGTTTACGAAGCGAAAGATTCTGTTTTTCAAGTCGGAAACACAACAAAGAAAATTCCGCCACGAATCGTCATCCGTGCTTACGACGCAGATCTTCTGTCCGCTGATGATTTTCTCGGTTTGTTTTCGAATCTTTCATACTAAAATTGAATGATTTTATCTAGGTGAATGTATTCTCAATTTAACACATTTTCCACACGGAGCGAAAGCAGCGAATAAATGCAAAGCGAATATTGTATTGAATTCAAAACATCCATCAATCAATTTGTTTAATAATAAGCGTCTTGCCGGTAAGAAGAGATCAAAGTAGGAAAGGGTTGTAGAAGACAATGTGTTTAGGTCATTGGCCAATGATTGCTCCTGCGACAGAAGGTGTTATTCGAGATAAAGATATGTTAGGTGTAAGTAAATAGGAAAGATGGGAAATGTTCTAAAGAAGAGCTTGTTGTTGTTGTTAAGGGCAAAGTTGAAGCGGAGTTTCAATTGCTGACAGCAGAGGAAGCTCAAAAGAATCCAGTTGGAAAAGGACGTGAAGCACCACAACCACTTGACGAACCAAAGTTTGAAGTTTTGTTTCTAATAAAACCTATGCCTTTACTTTTCCTTTTAGTCGACCGAAAACGTCTTTTCTTTGGTTTACATCGCCGTGGAAAACCTTACGTTATGTTATCTGGCGCAATTTCAAATGGCCGATCATCATTGGAGTTATTGTCGTCATATTTGTTGTCTTTTTGCTACTTGCTATTTGGTCATTACCTGGTCAAATTATTGCTCAAGTTACACAGAAAATCTTCGGAACTTCTAGCGGATGAGCTTGTTCTTTCGTATAAATCTTTTTCAGTGAGTTTTAAATTATAATTTATTAAATCAAAACGTTTTGTATTTCTGTTCTCTGCAAAAGAAACTGATGATTTCCTAAATGATATACAAAAGTAGACAGAGAAAAAAAGTGTGCATTTAGATTGACGCAGTGATGTAGAAAAAAAACACTTCGCGAAAGAAATCATAGGCTAACATAGAGATTCATTATTTATGCCTTATCAATGCACTCCATTGATGAGTCAGGATACCATACGACATCTTTCTCCAGTAACGAATCATTGGGCTTGTTTCTGTCAAAAAGTCAACGTACCCATGTCATTGCACAATATAAAAACAGATCGATGAAAAAAGAGAATCCATTGCTTTTAATTCATGTCTCGAAGTCAGTTGACTAGTTTTCGATGGAATGGTACCGAGTGGTCTCCATCCGATGGTTCACTTAATCTTTCTCAACGAAATGAACCAATCCGTGTAGCAACATGGAATATTCTCGCTGATTGTTTTCCATGGTTTATTGAAACAGCGGTAAGAAGCAGCGAGCGATATGAATGGCTATGTGATGGTATTACCAAATTGAATCCTACTATTCTCGGTTTAAATGAAGTCAGTCCAAATGCACTAGGACTATTACAAAAATGCCCGTTCATTCGAGAAAATTACTTTCTCACCGAATCCGTAGACGAAAATGTCGATGGAAGATGTGTAAATGCAACACTCGTGCCACATGGATGTCTTATTTTGAGTAAATTACCAATCCTGGAGGTGTTTGGAATACCTTTTACAGATAGTCGACGTGAAGCAATTACTGTCAAAGTACAATTGGATAAAACTCCTGTTTATTTTTGTTCTCAACATACGAAGGCACGTCAAACAGCAGAAAGGGCACAACTACGCTACAGACAGATATGCGATGTTATTGATGCTTTACAAGCACTTGAATCTCCATTTGTTCTCATGGGCGATTTAAATATTTATTACCAATACGAAGATTCAGTAACTGTAGAAAATGAGCTCGTCGATGCTTGGGCTCAAACACATTTCTCTCGTATTCATTCATTTAATGATGGCGATCAAGGATATACGTTTGACAGTATAAAAAATACTCTCATCCCATACTACGTTCCCGGTGCTTGTCGACAACTGCGACTCGATCGTATCCTCTTTTCTAAAGGATTTCCTGCATTCGCTATTGCTCCGTGTATGTTATGGGCCAATGAAGCTATCAAAGCTGAAGATTATCTTTTCCCAAGTGACCATTTCGGCCTTTCTATCGATATCGTTCCTGAAGTAAACGAGAAATATACGGATGTGATCTCATTGGGTGAACCCGATCCATCTGCAAATGAAATTCTTCGTCAGAATGCAGAAAACAAAGCCGACCAGGGACCTTATCGTCATGGCATTGTACGAAGAACAACGGCATTGGCATCTCATCTGGTTTGGCTTGGTGCTAAATCTGTCGGTCTCAAATAGAAATCATTACACCCCTAACTTCTACTTTTTCTTCGAAAAATAAACTCCAGCACTCTTTTCACATCTGACTTTGAATCTTATAATATAAGAGACACGACGATCGTAGTTGAGTACGTCTAAAACGACATCTTCTCGCGTTGAGTCATACTCGTTCGTTCTATGTTATTGCACAAACCAGCAAAATGACGTATTTGCTCTGTCGATGAATCAAAGCAGCTAAGTCATTGCGAGTACAGAACGTGTAGATCACTTGCATTTGCAGTATGTCTCGACGCCAGTTGACCAGCTTTCAGTGGAATGGAACTGAATGGTCCTCATTCGACGGTTCATCTAATCTTCATAATGAAGAAAACGAAATCACTCGTATAGCGACATTTAACGTTCTCGCTGATTGTTTTCCATGGTTTATTGAGATGGCTATACAAAGTAATCATAGATTTGAGTGGCTATGCAATGAAATTATCAAACTCAACCCTACGATTCTTGGATTGAATGAGGTCACTCCTAGTGTTTTGGAACGACTACAAAAATGTTCATTCATTCGAGAAAATTACTTTCTCACCGAATCCGTAGACGAAAATATCGACAGAAAGTGTGTTAATGGTTTATTAGTACCACATGGCTGTCTTATTTTGAGTAAACTGCCAGTACTGGAAGTGTTTGGAATATCTTTCACAGATAGTCGACGTGAAGCAATTGTTGTCAAAGTACAATTGGATAAAACTCCTGTTCATTTTTGCTCTCAACATACGACTGCATATCAACGACCGAAGAATGCCAAACTACGAGCTGGACAAATACGGGATATTGTTGATGTTCTACAACCATTCGGTCTTCCATTTGTGATTATGGGTGATCTGAATCTTCATTATAATTATGAAGATTCAATAGCTATTGAACACGAATTTATCGATGCTTGGGCACAAACACATTTTGCTCGTACTCATCCGTTCAACGATGGTCAACCTGGATACACATTCGATGCGAGAAAAAACACTCTTATTCCTTACTATATTCCTGGTGAATGTCGACAGATGCGACTCGATCGAATCCTCTTTTCTAAAGGATTTCCTGCTTTTGCTATCGCTCCGTGTATGCTATGGGCCAATGAACCTATCAAAGCTGAACATTATCTTTTCACAAGTGACCATTTCGGACTATGCATTGACGTCGTGCCTACGGCGGATGAGAATCAGACAGAAGTGATTTCGTTGGGCGAATGTGATCCATCTGCTGATGAACACCTTCGTCGGAATATCGAAAACGATACTGATCGAGGCGATTTTCAGATTGGTTTCGCACGGAGATCAATGGCGCTCACATCACATCTTCTTTGGCTCGGCGCCAAATCTGTTGGTCTCCGATAAACAGCATCATTCAATCAGCTTCTATTTATTTAAATTTTTTTATACGCAATAGCCGAACATAAGCCAGAATAAAACAAATCAAAGCCATGATTCCTATAAAGACTAAATTTTTCCATAGATCCCAATCGTTTTGATGGGGAATTTTGCGTTTCGATAGAACTTCTTCGCCTTTTATTGGACAAACCTGACTATCATCAGATAAACAAAAGGTTAAATTACCAAATTCATTGATCGTTAACAAATTTGACGAATATCGAATGGCACTAATCCATTTAATCCACCGTAAAGCAGAAAATATACTTTCCAAGTCCACGAGAAAACCACTAACAACCATCATTATGGAAAAGGCTAATATTGACACTATGAGGGCTACCGCTAAAACAAAACTTCAATAAAAAGAAACAAACAATTCTTGCTTTTTCGCCTACCAAAGACAGGAATACACGCTGCGATAAGAAAGCACAATGCCGATCCGAATACCGAGGAGAGAAAAATCGTGATAAAAAACGTAAAAAATCGATTGAACGAACGTTGAAAGCCCATTAAAGGATATGCGATCATTGCAAATACGCACGTCGGTATCACACGCATGGGAATCAGATCACAAACTAATTTTGCTAAAAAATATGTCACAACTCGATAATATCCACTGGTAATCTCCTAAGAAAACACCACATTTTCATCTTTTTTTTTCTGAAAAGTAGAACTTTACGTGACTGAATAAAATTCGTTCTTTGATCAAAGGTTCCAAAGCACTTGCCGTGCAGAGAATTTGATGTGTTGCAAGGAAGAAAATCGCTCCAATACGATTGGATATTCCTGGTTCGATCGTTGTTTTCATATTGTAAAACAACAAACCAGTAAGTAGGCCTAAGATGAGCGCGATGAGGATTTGCGTGATGTTTAACAAGGGATTTCGTATTGCATTTCGAAAAGTTCGTTGGGAAAGATAATAAAATTCAAGGAAAGCTGAACGGGAAAGGTATTGCTCGAATAAGAGGGGTCGATCGGTCGTTTGAGCATTGATCGACTGTATCAATGATAGATTGTTCGAGTGCATTGGAGATTGAAGATAAGCATTAGAAAGTAGTTGAGAAGACGCGTTCTTCGAGTCGATTAGAATATCAAGAATGAAATCAGCAGGATTGGTATCTTCTTCGCACGAAAATCCATTTGCAGTAAAATATGATAGAACATTTTTTGGAGAATCGAAATAGACTGTATGACCATTGGATAGTAGAAGAATTCGATCGAAGAGCTTGAATATCGAATAACGCGGTTGGTGAATCGAGAAAACAATCGTTCCTGAAATAAATCTTCGCATGGAAATCAATTCAACCGCGAAAACTCACTTCCTTGTCTAGAAAGTTTATGTAAACAATTGATAACATTCTGTGCTGTTGACGCATCGAGTCCTAAAACACCACACAACTGTGGACACATCAAAGAACGTTTCACATTACCCGTTGTTGGTTCATCTAAGAAGAGAATCTTAGGTGAAAGAATCAATTCCATTCCAATACTCGTTCGTTTTTTCTCTCCACCGGATATTCCCCGGACAAAATCGGTACCAATCAACGTCTCAGCACACATTTCAAGGTCCAATTGATCGATGATTTCATTCACTCGTTCAATCCGTTGGTCGAAAGAAAGACTTTTCTGCAGACGAAGATTCGCGGAAAACATCAAATTTTCTCGAACAGTCAATGTCCCACTGATCACATCTGCAAAACAATTCAATCATCGAGAAAATCAATCGATTTCACCTCGTACCCTCTTGAAGAACATATCCAATACAATATTTGTAATTCTTCGGTCGAGTTTGCCCATTGACAAGAATGTTTCCTGTCAAACCATGAGTATCTTTTCTATCAGCAAGAATATCGAGAAAAGTTGACTTTCCACAGCCCGTAGGTCCTGGCAAATCGAATATATGAATCAAAGTTTGAATAGAAAGGGTATTTACCTAGAATGGCGTTCATTCCTGTGGTGAAAACACCTGAAAGATCGAAGAGAATTTGTTTTTTCGACTTGGATTTACCAAATGAGAACAATCGATTTCCATTGTCTTTTGTTTGATCAACTAAATAATTGATTTTCTCATAGGAAATATTCATGACGGGTGAGAAATCAATTAGGTTCTGGTTTTCATCTTTTTCCATTGTTAATCTGATTACTTCATTCATCTAAAAGCACCAAATTGTCCCGAAACATCACCTCATCACGTTGTCATTCAACATTCTTCTTATCACTCACTTCAACTCGATAATAAAAGTCAAAAGGTCCACTTTTGTTATCTCAGATTCACCAGAGAGAACACGAAGCAAGGCATTCTTCTTTAAACAATTCATTTTTGCAAAATTTATTCAAGTATGAAAGAAAAGTTTTATGTATAATCAATCGGTCAAACAAACAAGAAAAACGAAACAAATTTCTTTAAAAAAAAAGCCATGCAAACATTCGTTTATGAACCAGATAGATTCATTTTCATCGATTCGTCAATTAAATTTGTCAATGATTCATTCGATTTATATTCGTCAAAAATTTCTTTGTTCAACGCTGCGATATAACCGGTATTTTTTAACCAAGGGATGATAATCAGACTAAAGATCGTACTTAGAATCGTTAAAGTCGTAAAAATCCAAAATAATAGACGATCCATAATTAACGCCATGAGTTTCCACTCGTTGACAATTTCATTTCGCTCTTCTTCTTGTTTTTGTCTGTCAATCAACCGCTTCAAATGTTTTTCTAACAGAAACATATTGGAATTGAACAATTCGTAATGAGACGAAGTATTTGAATTTCTCATGAACGGAATTTGATGCGATTGTTCGGGAATAAGAACGATTTGTGGAACACGTGAACGTGATCGATGGTGATGATGACGAACATGTGCTCGTTTTGCTGTTCGGACATCGCCGTTAGCAAGTGAAACATTCGGTAAGAATTGTTTTAGTTTTCCTTCTTCATCTTCTTCTTCATTATCGTCATCAAGGGTTTCTTCGCGATAACGTGCGTCTAAAATAGAAATAATCAGCGATTTATTGTATTCATTGCAAGTCTGATGTTCACAAAGGGAAGTTGATCGGTCAATGAGAGACTTTCTAAAGAGGAAATGTACCTTGTCTAAGTTTGTTGTTTGGTTTTTCCATCGGATATTTCTGATGATTAACAATCAGTGGTGTGTGCGATGGTTTCGCATCTACTTTGCTAAAACATCGATAAACTTCATCCTTGCCGATTAATTGATGTTCTTCCGCATAGATTCGTACGATTTTTCTCATTCCAACTAACGGAGCGACGAATCGAACTAACGTGTATTTAAACGAATAAGGTATAGGCACAACAACAGGACCTGAATGATGTAATTGAAGGACATAAACAGTCAAAACGATCGACAAGGAAGTTAAGGCCATGACAACAGTTAAATAGACTTCAATTAATGGAACCATTTCACTTGTTGCTGGCATTGATTCCGCAATTAGTAACATAAAAACTGAAAAAGCGAGGAGGACAGTTATACCAAGTGTAATCTTCTCTCCCGAATCCGACGGAAGCCAAAAGCCGAGAAGAGACAGTATTGAAAGCCATATACAAGGAAATATTATATTAAATAGATAATACAGCACTCGCCGACGAATATGAACTAGATTAAAGGGAAATAATGACAAGTCATTTTCCTCAGGTATATTTTTTACCATAAATAGTCACATCAGGATAATAAATCCCTGGACAACACGGGTACGTGACATCATTTCGTTTAATGTCAATGTTAACGATATGCCATTCACCTGACCGGATGTAATTTGCCATGTCAACAGTGTCTCTTCTTTTAGTTAAATTAACCTGCGCTGCATCGTACGACCAGGAGCCAAATTTTAACTTACATAGCTGATCTATTTGTTCGTCATAGGCAAAAAAAAGAAAAATCAGTTTTCGCCTTTGGCAAACAAGAATATTACCATCAAATGGAAAATAAGTCACGTCAATTTTACATGACGAGCGAAATTTGGCGGGCGGAGGCCAAAAAACATGCCCCGTGCTTTCAACCATCGCTTTACTTTGGTAAAAACCTTGAGTATAATCATCAGCAGAATTATATAGTACGATGTCAGGTAACCAAATCTTTGAACAAGGTAAACGAAGTGTTGATAAACCATTAAAATCCGATGCGTTCCAAATTAATCGTTGATCAAACCATTCCTAAACACGTTCATTCTGAAGTAATTTTCCAGGTAAAGTACAACTGACCTGTTCAAGCCAAATATTTGTTGTTAAAATCTGGTTTTTCTCGTCCTAAGAAGAAAAAAAGTACACCAATTGAATTATTCATCGACAAAATCCGATTATCTCCAAAGAAATCTGCTTTTCTTGTTCTATCCATTGAATTTTGCATTATATAAACAGATTTATCAAGTTCCGACTGATCGGTCTGGCACACAAATACGTCTTATGTTCACGTACCATATCGCTTAATTGTGTTAACGAGATTCCGAATGCAACGCTGACTGTATTCGACGCATTGTAAACAGGTCGCGCTGATGGATCGTAGTTTCTTAATAGATACGCCATGAGACGTTGCTCATCGGGAATTGAATCAGAGTCATTAAGAGCTAAATAATAATATGGATATTGATGATAGTTAAACATCGGTGGCATCTGTTGAAAAGATTTCGAAGATGTCGAATGAGCTGATGTGCCTTTATTCGGCATTTTTAAACTGGTAAGAACACTTGATGAAGAATAATCAAGAAAAATAATTGAGAAAACAGACAAGAGAAACATGGCCATGATTAGATTGAACAGCTAAAGAAACTTTCTCATTTATTTCACACTAACATCAGCCATATTGAAAAGGAAAAATAGATACGAGAAAAGAAGATAGAGAAAAGAGAGGAAATAGAACCACATTAAAGGTAGATTTTCTTCTACGGGACAAAAAAAAACGATAGAAATAATAATTACCATCGTTATCTATATAATCATTATTAATTTGAATTTCTCTGTATATGCTTACCGTAGTCATACCAAGAATTCACGTCCTCAGGAGACCAGGGATTTCCCCATGCATTTTGCTGATTACCAATGGATCCTCCATGTGAACCCGAAGATCCTGAGCCAAGTGTCCGTTGGGAAGAATAATGTCCGCCTCCCGGTTTACAAATTACTTCGTCGAAATGTAAAAACACAATTTCTACACAAATCAACACTATCACTGATACTTTCCGTAGCATCTTGTCGACTCGACGCACATCTTCTATTGCAAACAGCGTCAATAAAGATCTAATTATATCTAAAAACAATTCGCAAATGTTGATATAAAATACCGCTACAGGCCATTGTATATTTCATCCATCCAACTTCTATTCGGTAGATTAGAATCACATTAAAGATGATATAATCTCGAATAAACATTTGTCGGAGACAATTTAGATCGTTTATTTATATAAGAAAAGAAATGATCTATTCCGTAAGAAAACCATTCAACAAAGTGTACTTGTTGTCAATGATTAGAAATTGATGATTTTCTCGATTATCGTTAGCCGGAAGATTCTCCTCTTTCACTCTTTACACATAGAAAACTCCCATCATTATCAAAATCACCTCAAGGCACTAACGTCATTCACAAGAAATGCTCAGTTAGAAAAAGAAAAGGTAGACTCAGATTGCCAACGCATGACAAGAAACGGTCGTTTCTTGAAATTGTCTGATAAGTTCGTCGTTTGAATAAAGTACGACCGAACATAAAAATAGATATCAATTATTTAGGAGAATTTGACTCGGTACTTTTGAAAAGAATTTTCTATTTAATGTTTAATTATAAAAGAAAGACTAATAATTTTACCAAAACAATGAAGATCAAAGCGAAGTGAACTTTGTCGAAGTGATAATGAGTAGTTTATTGTAATCGTCATTCTAATTCGGAATTTTCCTCTTTCGCTTCTTTTCTTTCTGAACAAGATCGATTTTTATCGTAACGTCGAACGACAAAACGCAAAGAAAAGCATCATTTTTTTTTCTCTCCATCTTCATCTATCTTCGGTTCAACAAGAATCAATTTGATTAGATTCATTCATATTTTATCATTTATAATCATCAAAATCTACATGTCTGTTTTCTATTCATTACAATATGATTAACAAGTCAATTAATAAAATATTATCATCTGTCTTCATCGCAAAATCATTGGCATCATTCGACAAAACAGTAGAAAGTGGATTTTCTCTTTGTACTAAACTTGATTAATGACTTTTGATACTTTTTTATCCGATGAATATTTACTCTTCTCTCAGTGGTAAAGAAAGAAAAGCATAACATACTTTCTGGTTGACGATGTTGCATTTACGCGTGTGGAAAACGATCTGATCAATGAATGAGAAGCCTGAAGATTTTAATCGAACAAAAAGAGTAAATCTAAAGTGTCACTTCTACTCGGACTCTTGATTTTTCTACTTAACTGAAGAATCTTCAACAATGATTTTTAGTTTCTCTCGTTTCGAAATCGTCAACAAAATAAACACCACAAGAGGAGTTTTCAATAGGATAGTTCGGTAAAAATATCGAACAAGTTCGACGATAAAACAGAATTTGTTTACCTCTTGAATCTCAATATGCTTTTCAACCTTTCAGTTTGCCGTTTCATCGCCAATCAATCAGTTGAACGTTGAATTACTTCTTGACAACAAAAAAATCAAATGCTGTTGCGATGAAGTTAACTTGAATGTAAATGGTGTTTTTCTCCGTAAAGTCTCTAAATGGCACACATAGACCATATTGAATAAGAGTAACTTTTTCTATATTTACGTCTATTAATAAGACCATTTTGGTGTCTTCGTGGGCGTCGCGACGAGAAACGACGAAAATGATACAATTATCCATTTGTTACGTGTTATTAAACAAATAGTCATATTTCAAGCAAACAGGCGTTAAAACAAAACCTCCTTTTTTCTGGGAAAATGTGTTTTAAATTCGTTAATTTCTGCACTTTTAAACTCATTAAAACATTCTCATATTTGGTTTTATCAACTGATGATTTAGTTCTCTTAACAAAAAAAATAATAATAAAGACTTGCTCACAGATGCGTTGCATCTGAAATAACCTTCATCTTGTCTAGCGACAATTCCCTGATTTTCCTAAGTAAATCTTCAAATGCATTAATTCCCGCTTAGCAGAAAAACAACAACATTCCGTGTCTCACTTTCATTCAAAACAGTATTAGTACCTCTCGTGTAGACTAACGCAAATAGTGTTTGTTATTCGTAATAATTCTGTTAATTAAGGCTATTTATATCGTCGAACATGTTGATTTGAATAGGAAATTTCTTTTCGTTTTCATTTAAAAATGTCGTACTCATCTTGGAAAGACTTTGACAGAAGATGATTATCGTTTCTTACTATCCCTTTGCAAATGTCAATCTTTGAAATCGATGTCTGCATGAACACATTCTGAACGTTGCTCGACCTGACCTTGTCTAACCTTACTTACTTAAGAAAAAAAACAAGAACGTTTCTTCAATAAATTCTCTTAGTAATTCCTTTTCTCCTTCATCCAATAGAAAAAAAAACTAGAAAGAGAGAAGTTTGATCATTTTATTCAAAAGTTATCGTACGCCGGATTCGAAATATTCATTAGTACAGGAAATCGCTAAAACGTTCTTCGTCTAGTTCATACAATTGTTCAATGGTAATCACTCATAAGAGGGAAAAACCTATTACTGAATATCCTTTCGGCGAATGTGACGTATATTTCGTAAGTAAACAAACGTCAATACTCGAAATACCTTGCATCAAAGACTGGAACGGAGAGTATTGCTATATCCTATACTCAAATCACATCATCGTTCATATTTTCAATGAATGATTAGAAACATAGAGAATGATAGCCTGAGAGAAAGATGAAAAGTCTTTCATCAAGGTAGAGAAAAAAAAGGAAGATTGATGTGAAGAAAGCACGACAGATTTAGACTAGCTCTGACTTCTAAACGATACATTGTCAGAGCAACTTTGTACAGGTCATGATCTCTGATCATGTACCATTTAGATATTGAAACGAGCTTCGTTAGAATTGCTTCTCGACAATTTGTTGTTTCTTCACATGTTGATGAATAGCAGACAGTGCAGTTGCCGCTCTGAATGCTTGATCTATGCTGAACTGAGCTCTTAAATGGAAAGATCATTCAAACTATCAATATCCCAATGAATGTACTTAGTAGTTTCCCAATCGACAAAAAAAAATGAACCCGGATGATTGCGTTATTTCCCAACATGTTAAGCATAGTAATGAATACTAAGACAAGACTTTTGTTTTTTTCAATCAAGTCTCTTTTCGTACAGATTTTGTGGAATCTTCAAGTCGTTCAACTTTTGCTGCACCAGACAAAACATAATATACAGATCGAATTAATCATTTAAATGAAGTAATGTTGATCATAACTCTATGATAGTTGTAATAACTAAATCGAATATTATGAGCGAAAATTTATCGATAAATTCGCTTCGACTTGAAGTCTTTCTCGATGAACTTTTCCTCGAAATTTTCCAGTACATTGATCCTATCGATATTGTGGTTCAAAGATAAGAAGACTATGATCTTGATTATATATCAAATTTTGCTTCAACACAAATCATTCGTTTGGAAATACGTGACTATTGGTTATCGCTGGATTTTCGTGAAATGATCGAACTTCGTTCATTTACGTTTAACTGCGGTTGTCTTCTGGAACAACAGTAGAAGGATATTCACTTGGAAAACTATGTTTTACATGGATTGATTTAGATAACCAAGGTCAATCTGCCTCGTCTAGAAAGACTGTCTATTGATGATATACCGTATAGTCTAGAAGAACCGTTATTTGATACTATTTTTCAAAGTGAACAATTTTCATCGCTTACAATTTGTCGTCTTGGTTTGCAAGATGATTATAATTCGAAATTCGCTAAGAAGCAATCATCCCAGATATACCTTGTTAGGTCATTGTTTATCGAAAATTAAGGTAATAGGTATATCGTTTAAGTTATTTTCTCCCCAAACTATTATTGATCGAAGAAATCTCGTTCAACTGCAACTATATACTTTTTTCACATTCGGTTATATCACACAAACTGAATTCAAATTGTGAGATGTAGATGTTCGTAAATAAAGCCTTTTATCTGCACTCAAACCTTCATGTTCATATCACTTAACTGCTACGCAACACCAGCTGCTCTTCACACTGATTTTTAAGACGTCATCGGTCCTGAAAGGATCAAATCAATAAAAAACTGAAGACATGAGTCAAAATACGATGTTTCGTATCAAGAGCATTATTATGATTAAGTACTTTTCAAAGCATATAATGAATAACTAAATTTGCTGGAAATGTTTTAGTTCGATGTGATTATTATGTTCTTTTTCTCTGCAATGTCTAATTTTAGAATGATAGTCTGGTCCGATTTTGTTCCTGTCGGTTCGTGTGATGACTCATCGTCTCGGCAGCTTTATATTTTTTACTTCTCTCCTACACAAGGAAAAAAGACGAGGTATACAGTAAAATACCGATGATTGTGAAAAAGACGCAATAGATTATCTCAAAGATGCATTTCGTTTTGAGATGTCTCATACCAAATACAAGAATATAATATCACAAAGTACAGCGGTAAGTCATTTTCTAGAAGTTAAGAGAATTACAAGAGTACTTCCTCATTTTTGACACTGATTAACGCCAAACTGAAGCTGCAATCGGCAAACAAAATTTCCATCTTAGTTTATAGAGAAAGACATCGGCAGATCAATTAGTTTTTATTAGATAAATTTTGTTGAAAATCGTTCTCCAGAATGTGTGAATTGCCGTAAATATTGATTACCAGAAAATTTAACTCAGCACAATGTCTACCTCAGATCCGTAGTCCTTTTCATAATAAGCAGCACCTTTATGGCTATGAGTGCTGCGACTCCAATGGCTGTCATTAAATAGAAACACATGGACATTGTGATTTGGAAACAAAGCCTTCAACTTCTCATGAAGAACATCACGTCGTTTAACATTGTCTGTTTCGCTCTTTGTTTCGGTGATCACATCATTTGCTATGGATTTTATTGCATCAGAAGTCATAGTTTCTCCTGTTGATTGCGATACTTTGAAGATTTCCAACCAATAGTCGTCCTTGAGCTGAACACCAAGCAATTTCTTTCCAATAAACCGTCCCCAACCACCAGTTGTGGATCTGTAGACTAAGATTGCGTCATTGGGAAAAGCTTCTTGAAAAGTAGTTTTTATATATTCAGCACTATTCGTATCCACTAGAACAAAATAGGATTTATGTGAGAAGTTCCTCCGAATGCACCGATGATATAGGAAAGGCTTCTATTGACGTCCATACCCTCATACACCTTTCGATTTCTATCCTTTGTTTAACTTCGTACCTTGTTTCTTAGCACCATATAGATGTTGAATCGATTCAATGTCAACTGATGATAAACTTTTCGTAACACCAGCAAATGGATAAGTTTTCTGCATTATCGATGCCGTATTTCTAGAATGATCCAAACCGAGTGCATGTCCTATTTCATGCAGAGCAACTAGAAAAAGGTTTATCTTCGATTCTTCATTGCTAAAAATAGCAAAACACCAAACAATAATAAAGAAGATTCTTAGTGTTGCTCCTTACTTCTCTGTCCATACTTCATCGAAATCGAAGTGAACTTGTCCATTAGTAGGCGGATCTGCGTGGGCCAACGTTCCACCTTGTCCATCGAATGGGTGATTCTCGCACTCAGCGTGAGCACGTGAAACAAATTTAATAACAATATCCGCCGCGCAAGTAGAACAAACTTTCTCAAACTCTAATGAAGTATGAGATGCATATGCTTGGAATGCTTCCTGAAGAATTTCCTCGGTTCTCGATGCTGAAATTTCGTTTTTCCAAGGATAACTTTGTATTGACCAAGTTAGACGAGATTTAGACCATTTTAAATCACCAGCATGCAGTTTAAATAAAGTTTCATCGCCGACTCCACAGATTCTGCTATTAAGGCTTTGAGCAGGAGCGGCGGAGACTTGATGCAATGTAAAGAAAGCAAAAATGTACAATACTACGAACATGCTGTGTTTAAATTCGAAAAAAAGATGCTGAATGATAGTATTCCCGAGTCTACGTGTTCGTTATATAGTTCCGAATCCACCATATTCTTACTTAGCTCTATCAGGGAAATCCCAGCTTACGTCAGTATCGTGTAAACAAAAGATTATCGATCAGACTCATATAAAATTTGACCTATCATCACTATAAGATAAGAAATACGTTGTGGTATGCCTGCGTGTATTAAATTGTTTTTTTTGTCTTTTGATAAGAAACCTCAGTCAATGTTAACCTTTGTTTTTTCCCTTTCGATGGGAACATTTCGATTTACCGAAATAAATTTGTTTTCAAACCTGTGCCCGTGAGTAATCAATGTCAAAGTGTTACTTTTATGGATGTACTAAGTCGTATTTATTCGTTTTCACGAGTAGAAGAAAACGGCACTACGTTGTAACTTCAACCTAAAACGTCTTGGAAAAAACACCGGAAAACAACACGACACCTGCGCGATTTCTTAGTTCAACGATACTTCGAAAATTCTTGAGTTCGAAAATAATTCAGAATTAGTTGACGACACACTCATTGGTATGCTTTCATTCAATTCGAATAATAGTTGTACCTATTGTGTGATTTTCGTGTTTATTTTCTATTCGCTAAAAACATGAGAAAACGAGATTTCCTCTTGTATGTTGCACACATGCACCACTTCCATCTTTACAATCCATCAGTAAATATATTTTGATCGTAGTTTATTCAAATAATTGATCAGTTAACATTTTCGAAAGACTATTGCATTACAATTAATCGTTTAACACATAACTAACTATTCATCTATGCAATGACTTCCATTGATATTGATTGACATGTTGAATGAAGTATCTTTCGAAAAGTATTATCGACTATTTTATTCCGCCACGAACAAACTTTAGTATTCAACTGTATGCGTGAAGAAAGTACATTTACATTGAAACAGTAATTCTGACTGTTGAGTTCATGATTGTCTTTCTTTGCTTTGAAATTTAAACTGAGTAGGATTGTCATCTTTGTCGGTGAATGTCAAATTTTAAAATCACATGTCTGCAAAGTACACTTGAACATTACTCGACGTGAACTTATTTAACGTCAGCTACTTGAGAAATACAAGAGCAGTTCTTCAATAACTTGTTCGTTTCTATTCATGCGATGACTCGTCGTCTCGGCAACTTCATCGCTTTTTTTCCTCATAGAAAAGAAAACGAAGGAGCGAGACATTTGGATGATCATAATTATGATGATGAAATCTTTGAATACAACAATTGAATATGAAAATCAGGGGGATTCTTATGTCTCGTTCTATGAATATCCACACCGTCGATCGTTGATTAATTCACGATTTCAAGCAGAAATTGTCGCTTTACCAACATCGAATCGTGATGAATTAATTGATTCATTAGAATCATTGGCGTTGAAAATAAAAACACTTGAAAACCAACGAAAAGTTTGTGAAAATCTACCATTGACTGCGGTTCTACTGATTTTATCTTTTCTTTCAGCAGGCTGAGCGTACATTTCAAGAAATTACAGGAAAATGTACCCAACCAACGAGAAATTCTGTTCGTTCAAGAACACCGGAGGATATTCGAGTTTCCTCGTCCTTCAAAATCCAAAACAATGGTAAAAATAAACGAACCTCCCAGCAAAATCACTCAGATACTCCGTTCATTCTCGGTAAATCTACCACGCCAAGTCACAATGTCAAATCCAATATTCAAACTGTAAAAATCCATCCCAAGGATTTTCTTCAACCAAACTTTTCTTTTTTAGGTCATCGCATTACTAAAATCTCATAATCATCAGTTGTGTTTATCGTCAAAAGAATACGTAAAAAATCTTCAGACTCATCGGAAAAATCATTTAACTTCCCATGATCTTCTGTATCTTGACCATTATAAGAAAACGTCTGTGTCACCTGGACGATGCGATTCAACCAGAAAATCTCAACATCATTCTCGAATCGAACATCTTTTGAATGAATATATCAAATTATTTCGTAAACAAACGAAATTCAATTTGTGTAAAACGAATTCACAGGAATTGAATAGCTTAAATGAAAAGATGGAAACTATTTTAGACGAATTAAAGTATCTTCACAGTCAAAACAAAGGTGAAACATGTGGAAGATCAAAACTATTTCAAATGATTCTTAAAGAAAAATAAAAAATTTGTCTTATAAACTTTAAATTTCATTTCATATCTCAAATAAATCGATATTCAACAGACGGAGTTGTACACATCTGACATTTTTATCAATTGACCGTTGTCATGAGATTCGACTCTTTTTCGTTCATATCAACAAGAGAATAAAGAGAGAGAGAGAGAGAATGAATAACATTTTACTCTTCATATCGATCTTTTCTTTGTGATGGTCAGCACCTCACACACATTTGTTGTTTGTCATGCACAACAACAACAATTTCACGCAATAATCGACCTGCAAAATTGCTATGGATCATCAAAATGAATTTACGCTATATTGGCGCTTCTACCAACCAGTTACAGTTCCAGCGTTACCCCATGGTTTCGTTATCTTACGTCTCATACATGGATTCGACCACAACAAAGAGTTTCACTCTCGCTTATGTGAATATGAAAATACTCTATGCGAGATGTGAACGACATTGATGGGCTTCTTCATTCATGATATTTCGAACATTAACCAACTTATGAAAATAAAGATTTCGAAACGATCCATTCATGTCTTTCCTTCATACAGATAAAGATAAGAAAAAGGAATATTTCTTCGTTACGGTCGAAGACGATCTATAGATTTGTTCGATCGACGTTTGCTGTGAGTGGTGGTGTCTTAGGAGATAAGTCAGCCACAGCAGTTTCATATGACGGTGGGGCATCTTCATAAAAATTTGGAATCGGTGGTGGAGCGATAACAGGATTTATACGATTCGGCGATGATTGTCGTCGATGTCGAGACGGTCGAAAGGAAAAATTTGCATTCGGCCAGGTATGACTGGCATTTTGTCGTTGTTGTCTTGAACTAGCGTAACATCCGCAAAAAATAATACAGAAAAAGATCGGAAGTAAAACGATAATAAAAAGAGTGCTTTTGGGAAAACCAGAAGAAGATGAAGGTGCCAGAGTGGTGGTAGTAGTCGTTCTTATTGTTGTATAAGACAGACATGATCCTGTGTAACTTCCACAATATTCATAAACTATGAAAAGCAAATAGCTGAGTACAGATGTTTTTCAGGATAAATCTCACTACTTTACATGGACAACACCAAGTGTTTGGATATTTGATACAGGTTTTTTCTTATTTTCAAAGAAAAATCAAAGAATCAATAGGATCTCTTAGTCTTTCGGAACAAAAACCATACCCAAGAGAGAACAAGTACTGGCGATGACTTCCTGCAGTGGAATTGTGAGTAAAAGCACGATAGCGAACATGACTTTGCTCGACTGAAAAGACATCTTCTGTTGATAATTATTTCACAAAAAAGAACAGGTAGTTTTTGTGCGCACTCATTTACGACATGGCGACCCGTTACACATAGATAAGATTCTTTACTTTTAGTAACATTTTCAACTTGTGACACATGGCCTTCAATCAACAAAGGAGTGATTCATATAAATACAGATATTGTAGGTGATGTCACGATAATCAGCGCAATAGAAATGATTTTTCTCAAATTCGCAGATGTTTCATCTATCACAGTTCGTCTTTTCTAGGAACACGGATAGATGGTGCTCTGTGCGGATATTCGAACCATTCTTAACCCAAGTTGATATTTTTTCACCCTCAAATGAATTCATCCAATAAACCAATCATCCAAATGAATCATCGATCTTGTACTTATTTATCCATTTTTCCTTCCTTTTCATTGATTTATCGATCATTGTATATTCAGAATGGCTTCTTCGAATCACCCTGGAACCGATGATTCAATTCGTCATGTCACCGAACATTGGAAGAAATTGAATGAAAATTTAGCACATGTTCCAAAGTTTCAAAGTGTTCATCAAGCTGGTGTAACTGAAGAACAACTCAAACAATTCGAATCCAAACTAAACATCACCTTACCGAAAGAAATTCGAGCTGTAATCAAAGTTCACGATGGACGAAAACATATCGGTTTTGGTTTAGGCTATCGTCTTCCATCAACAGATCTTCTGCCACTTTCTGAATGGAAACCCTATGAAAAAGAGAATGAAGATTTTGTCAAGGAGCTGTGCGATTGTTTAAGTGAAGAAGACAATGCCTGTGTGGATAAACATTTGTATGAAGATTTTCAAGAACATACGAAAATTTATAAACAAGACAAAGGGAAAAGTTCGACAGCAGAGGAACTGTTTGGCTCTGTTCCTTGTGAATTATTGATAATCGGACAAGGAATGGATGATTATGCGGAACAATATCTATTGAGTATTCGATCCGGAAGAATTTATTTGGCTATTCACAATATTCCGGAATGGAAATTGATCGGATCATTTGAAGATTGGATCAATAAAGGTTTATCCCATGCTGAAGATCAAAAAGCTGAACTTGAAGAACAGCATGAAGAAGCAGAAGTTGCATAAGATTTTCTTTTCTTTTTTTTTTATAATACCGTTTATTAAGAAATAAAAAGAAGTATTTATTTTCTATTGATCAATTATCAGAAAATTCCTCGAATGGAACAAACACAATTACCTAATAGTGAACAGATTCAATTGTTCTACATTGCATTATTGATGATCCACTCATTTGACGTCTTTTTTCTAAGGTAGATATTTTACATTTTATTTTTATGATTTATGATTAGTGTGAAAATAGATGTAACATATTTTATATGTTTATGTTTTAGAAGAAAAGATTAAGTCTAGAAAGACAAAAGTTCAGAGTTGTTGTCGAATACCATCAAATAAGGATTGAAATTGATTTTGATCTTTGTTGAGCAGATCGAGAATTCGTTTTTTCGATTTCTGGATGATTCCACTACACATTGAAGAATATGATGAAAAACGGGTTTCTAATAAAATAATGATGATTGCTGATATAATCAATTCTTTTTGTGCTGAATACTGGAATTGAGTTAACGATTTTCCTGTCAGCTTTTGAATGATGTCAGAATCAACACTCCAAAGCCCATCGAAATTTTGTTTATCAATTAAATAACGGACAATATCTTCATCACCACTTGGAAACTCTCCGTTATCGACATCGATTGGTATATTTTTTGCGTGACTTTCTCTACGACCTCTAGGAGCAGCTGTAAAATCTAAATCCATTCGTGCACTAGCATTAGATGACATTGGCGCGAAGTTCGATAGTCTAGGCATCGCTTTCGACTTGGATGGAATGTCCCTTTTATAGCACATCAGATGCGACATACCGCAAGTTGGCGCGGCAGGACGTCGAACTTGTAAATGTTGATCATCAGCTGAAATTTCAATTGGTACTTCACGCAAAACCATTCCGACGTTATTTCCATCTCGACGTTTTTCAATTCCAACGAATGAAGTATATGGACTAAGAATGTGATACTTCAATGACAAATCGATAATATGTTTCTTCTGTTCTTCTTTCTCATTGTCGATGGACTTTTCATCTTGTTTATTCAACTCTTGAAATCTTGCTTGCGCTGAT